TGTGACAACAGGACAGATGGACTAGTGTGTGTCCGCCAGTAAAAACGGTAAGATTATAACAAACACCTAGGTAGCTTTATAATGAAAACAATATTAGCAACTTTATGCAAGATATAGCTAAAACATGATAATAATCTAAATACAATTGTATACTACAAGGAAACAGAAGCAAATTTATAGAAAGTGAAAAAAACCCAAAATATAAATACAGCTGCAAGTTAATTATACATGTAAATACACAGGTATATATAACACTTACATATATATAGTATTCTATTACAGTACATACTATTGTACTAACATAAATGCAGAAACATGTAGGTATGAAATGAATATAGACAACACAAGTTACATTTAAGTTATTTGAGAAATATTGCTTTCAGCTGAACTGAAATTATATCCCTTGTTTTGAAATTTAGTTCTATGAGTCAATAACTTAGAAGCTGCAATAGATGTGAAATAGACAGCTGTTAAGTGTAGAGTGAAGCCAGAAATATTCCATCTCCTTACTGATTTAGACCCTGACACTACGTAATCACTGTAAACATACAAACTACAACTGTAGCCAGGATGGCCCACTAATACCCTCCTGCTCTCCAATCAACAATAGGCTTGGAGTCATCGCCAAACAAGCTTCCTCCATGAGAGCTTCATTTGGTCATCATGGCAACTAAATGGCAAACATTTTTTCCCTTGAAAATGGTATAATTGTATTTGTCATTTCCCTAAACATTTTTATACCAATTTTATACTTAATCAGGTAATATCTAAATTCTGTTTCCATCGTAATGGTTTTGGAACACCTTATAGGTCAAATTATAACTATAAATAGCTGTAGCACTTGATAAAATTCAAATAAAATCAATTAAAGGGCTAAGAGTCATGGCAAGTAATCTTAAAACTTGTGTATAGTGAACATGGCAACCAAACTTTCTGCTAAAAAAAATGCATGCACATTTGCACATCTTCACGTAGTCCCTAACATCCCTGTGTAGTTACATTGTACACATCTACACAGTCCCTAACATCCCTGTGTAGTTTGTACACATCTACACGTAGTCCCTAACATCCCTGTGTAGTTTGTACACATCTACACAGTCCCTAACATCCCTGTGTAGTTACATTGTACACATCTACACAGTCCCTAACATCCCTGTGTAGTTACATTGTACACATCTACACGTAGTCCCTAACATCCCTGTGTCGTTACATTGTACACATCTACACATAGTCCCTAACATCCCTGTGTAGTTTGTACACATCTACACGTAGTCCCTAACATCCCTGTGTAGTTTGTACACATCTACACATAGTCCCTAACATCCCTGTGTCGTTACATTGTACACATCTACACAGTCCCTAACATCCCTGTGTAGTTACATTGTACAAATCTACACAGTCCCTAACATCCCTGTGTAGTTTGTAGACATCTACACGTAGTCCCTAACATCCCTGTGTAGTTTGTACACATCTACACATAGTCCCTAACATCCCTGTGTAGTTACATTGTAAACATCTACACATAGTCCCTAACATCCCTGTGTAGTTACATTGTACACATCTACACATAGTCCCTAACATCCCTGTGTCGTTACATTGTACACATCTACACATAGTCCCTAACATCCCTGTGTAGTTACATTGTACACATCTACACATAGTCCCTAACATCCCTGTGTAGTTACATTGTACACATCTACACAGTCCCTAACATCCCTGTGTAGTTTGTACACATCTACACAGTCCCCAACATCCCTGTGTAGTTACATTGTACACATCTACACAGTCCCTAACATCCCTGTGTAGTTACATTGTACACATCTACACATTGTCCCTAACATCCCTGTGTCGTTACATTGTACACATCTACACATAGTCCCTAACATCCCTGTGTAGTTTCGTTGTACACATCTACACATAGTCACTAACATCCCTGTGTAGTTACATTGTACACATCTACACATAGTCCTTAACATCCCTGTGTAGTTTCGTTGTACACATCTACACAGTCCCTAACCTCCCTGTGTAGTTTCGTTGTACACATCTACACAGTCCCTAACATCCCTGTGTAGTTACATTGTACAAATCTACACGTAGTCCCTAACATCCCTGTGTAGTTTCATTGTAATCAGTCCACAATGTCAGGAGCAGTCTGGAAAAGATCTATCTAATCAGCCTTTTGTGGTTACCATAGCAACTAAATGACATTCAATGTTTTTTGAAAATTGTACCATTGTAAATGCCTTTCCTCGAAACCCTTATATATCAATTTTCAGCACAATTGGATAATATCTTAATTTCGACCAATCAGAAGCATCCATCATGTTTTCATAGCAACAGTTCTAGAAACACCTGGTGAGTCAAATTACTGGCAATGATCACAGTTACACCAAGTTCCAATGTCAGTACAAAATTTTCCTACTGACAGACAAGTTGATTCCAGTATACATCCCATCTCCTCAACCTCACCCCCCCCCCCACCCTCCCCCCACCTTACTTCATTGCCAGGGGTTATAAGTGGTTTTAAGAGAGTTTTGTCTAACAAATTAAACTTGTTAAAGACTGATTTATGTGAAAATTATGTGAAAATGATCTTTTTCTCAGCATTGATATTATGACAAATTTGTACTCTATTTAATTTGTAAAAATTATGCTAACAATGGGGAAAAAAAGTGACATTAACTAAAAAAAGAATTGAATGTAATAAATAATATATAATTGACTGATGAAAGATTCCTTCTCTACAAACATTTGGAGAACTCCACCAAAAAAAAAAGATTTGATAAAACATATTTTGTAAAGAAAAAACCAACAGCATGGCTATGATGTTTTATGACTCTGATGGATGCTCTCAATGTAGTAATGACGATGAGAAAATACCACACCAGCTATTATTATCATAAATCTACAAGATACCATTCGAACAAAGAAGCAGTCAGAAAATGTTGCGAAGGAACAGTCTACATGCAAAACGATTGCTGCTAAAAAATAAGTTAGAAACGAAAGGAAAACACTACAATCCAATATGCTCGCTGGTATGTCTGGAGTGTGATAATAATTAAGTTACAATGCTAACGATTAAACTCTGCAAAACATTGAATAACGACAACAGCACGACACAAGATGTCACGAACCCATACAGGAGCGTGACTCTGTCCATACCTGGCCTTTTATTGCCTAAAAATTAGCAGGAGTGGAAACGATCAGATTTCTTTCTGATAAAGTACATCTCAACAAAGTTTTTGTTTTTTCTTGGCCATTACACATACCATATTTATCATTCAATAAGCCCAGGTTTGACGTTGAAGTCTGGGTATAGGCTTACTACATTAATATGAAATACCACTAATTGGTTAAACTGTTGAATAGTGAAAGATACAAGTGGGCTTATTACCAGGCACAGGCTTATTGTCGGATAAATACAATATTCTCACTGATGGCCACACCGGGGCCGTTGTAGCACCTTGGCCCAGGTAAATAGTTTGATAATACATTCTCAATTTTATTATTCCTTGTCTGTCTGAAATCAGTTCACTTATAATAACACATTCCAACAGAACTTTGAAATATTTTCATTGACTAAACTGTTCATTGGTTCAAAATAACAAGAGACATCAGGCACATGTTATCAAAATTAAGGAATGTCCCAAGTTTTTATGTATTGCAGTGTATGATTATCATAAAATTAAAACTTAGAACATTTTGATTTATATAATTTTTCATTCCATCAAATAAACAGAAACTTATCAAATAAATTTTGTTTTCAATGTCATTTTTTTGACAAGCAAAACAAAAACAATTCTAGAAAATGCATTTCCTGTTTGATTTCAAATTTCGATAACTCAATGACTGGTAATAAAAGTATAAAACTATCCTCTTCTACAAGGGTGAGATTTATTTTAGTATGGAATGAAAAATATTAATTCAAAATCTCTCTGAATAAATGACAGTAAGTCTAGGATAAGATTTACTTTTAAGTTCAACCTTAGAGAATTAGAAATTATAAAAAAAAAGCAAAAAAAAAATGCTTTTTCAAAACAAAACTGAAATCTTGTTTGCTTCCTCTTGGTTTTCCAATATTTGTGGAGATGTCTTTGTGAAGTTTTAATTCTAATTTTTAAATCAACCCTTTTGTAACCAGTTATCAACTCTTTCACCATTTATGTTAGAAAGCTGGGGTAAAGCAGAGGACTGGAGGAAGGAGATAATTTTATGGGTGTCCTGATCATTAACAACGAAACCATATTAATTACACCGATATATAACACATTGGGATTTGAAGCCAAGCACTAAACATAAGCTAGGACACAAGGTTTACTCCAGAAAAACAATACAGAAAAATATCCAACTTTATACATTTTCACAATTAAATCAACATATTCAAACTTCCACAGTTAAGAAAGTCATTTTATAAGTTAAATTTTTTTATAGTTTACAGTTAAGCGTATGCCCTGTCATACTTAAAGCTAAGATTTTTCACAATGCTGAATAAACCTAGCCTATAGCTACTATCGACCGTACGATTCGAAGCCTACCTGGTAATCTAAAAAAGTATTTTATTCATAATATTTACGTCATCAAACTTATAATGAAATGTAATGCACTGATTTGTTATCAAAACACTATATGAATAGTTCCAGACCTCATGTGACAAGATTTTCTGAATCTATAAATAGATCATTTGGCATGACTTCTAACCCTATAAATAGCACCTGCTCCATGTGAGAACAATTTTCAGGCTAAGTAAAGCCCTATCTAACAAAATACATAAATGACAATATTGAAGCTATATTTAGTCCGCAGGCTAAAATTTATTCAGAATACTGGCAGGCATTTTTGACTACAGTGCTTTCAGTTCGAAAATGCAAATGTGTCTTAATGAGTCATAAACCTTACTCTACCAATCAAATCTAACAGTCCATGAAATACATTTACGAAGAGAAAATAGAGATATTTTCAAATTAAAATTTCAATCATAACAAATTTTAGACAGAACTTACCACTTTATCCTGGTCAAAGAGTTCAACTATAATGGTTGGTGGACTGTTCGCGATTTCTTCCATCAAACCAAACATGGTGACTTCGTTGATGATGAGCATTTCGTCCCACGTAGGACTCAACGTCTCCTCGATCACTTGTGTACACACGCTCTGGTCCCCGAAGGCTATCCTTGCAAAGGGATCAGACAATCCCGAGGCATCAGACCCAATGAGACTTCGAGCCTGATAAAGATGTGCTCGTAATTGGAATAATTGTTTCTCTGAAAATCAGGAACAAAATGTGTTAAATCATATCAGGTAAGGGAGACTACTTTTGGAAATAAATTTAATCCAGAACAGATATCTAATAAGATACTCATAAATTTGTGACGAAAATGTTCTTTTTCATACTTCATAATTTCAGGATCATTCTCATGGCTGAAACTGATAAAATGGGATATTTTTCCAATATTGGAAATCATATTTTGCAGCAAAAGTGTTTTGACCAGATGGACTGAAATTTTAAGTAAGAAATCACGTTTAGCTTCATGTGATTTTTGCTGAAGACCTTCATTGCCTACATTTATGGACATCTGCAGGATCATTAGGATTAAATTCTTACATTCAGAACTACAAACTAATATGTCTGTATAACTGGACGTGCCCTTGTAGGCTCTATGATGAAGTCTGAGGTATCTCCTTACCTGTATAGTGTATGAAAGGTGGTGGTATTCCCTGCGGTTTGATGGCCAGCTGAGTGAGTTTGTTTGATTCGTAACCTCCAGGCAGTCCATTAAGGAAGTCCTTTTTGTGTTTGGCGAGACCAAGCCAAAGATAAACCTGCACTTTCGCCTGGATCGCCCAGCCTGCCTGGCTGGTGGCCTTCTTACCTGGCAGCTGGAGAACATGGACAGAAGTGAAAAATGTTTTTATCATGGTATTGTATACATAATTATTACATATCTGCCAAGATAAATAATTTAATTGTTGAATTTTTTTAAATTCCATTAATATCATGTTGATACATTGTCCAGAATATTATTTTTTCTGGAATATTAATCAAGAGCAGCCTATAATCACTGTCACCTAAGTGCTTGTATTCAATGAGCAGTCCATAGGATTCAAGATTTCAAAGACACTGACTGTTTCATTGGTTCTTCACTTCTTTATAACCATTTCCCTGTAACAACAATAGAGGTTGATCGTTAACTTTTATAATTGACCTTGGCACTCACCTTCAGGAGTAGAGTCTGAACACGGGAGCAATCTTTGCCGCGCTCCTCATCGACAATTGAGTAAATGATGTCCATCGCAGGAATCCTCTGATAGGCAATCCTTTTGTTGCCGCTTACCATCCATATAAATACATCTGGTAGGGCATGCTGGGGCTCCGAGGTAAGGCCCTTCAGCCGTTGGAGATATTGACTTGCATAGCGAATTTTGTCCTTGAGATTTCCCTTAGATACAGTGGCCTTCATGCTACGTGCAAGGGTGGACATCTGATCCTGTTCAACACAAAGGGCCAATACTGCATTAATGTAACATTCCTCAACACTTGCCATGTAATTTTACAAAAAAATGAATAACTAGTGAAACCTTGTTTTGATATCCCAAACCTACCATTTCCCTGATAAGTAATTTCTGTCGTTCCTTGTCCAGCTTAGTTTTTCCTGCGGTGGCTCCCCCACTAGTTCCCTTCACTATTGTGACAAATTTTGAAGCTGATGAGCCAAGCTCTTCGAATACTCCTCGAAGACGTTTCTCTGGGAATGGCTGTTCCTGATTTATCATTTCATGAACATCGTTGATACCGTCCTCCTGATTGGTGGAAACAATATTAGAAAAGAATGCTATTAAATTCGAGCAAATTTAAACAAAATAAAAATTAAAAATTAATTTGTGATTGTGAATCCTAGTTATCAAATCCAAAAGAATTATAGAATCATGAAACAAGAATTCGAGCAACTGACCAATTTTTCGGCAATCTTGTTGATGATATTGGTATTGTACATTCTCCGCCTATGGTCTTCAAAAACTTCCTTGATATACACACATGGCTTATCATCATAGAATGGTAGATGGTAGTAGCAGCGGTCACGGGTGACCGGTCGCAGAGGTGGCGTATGACTCTGCCATTTGGGGGCATCTGTACTGACGAGTTTCTCCATCGGTCCATCCTCGCCTTCCTCTTCACTTTCCTCCTCGCTGCTTGAGTCCTGCTTCTTCTTGGTGGGTGGGTTGTACCCATCAAGTGTGTTCCCAGCATTTGCTTAAAGAAGCAACAGAATTTCAAGTATGACATCTTTAAGTAATGGAACAGATGTGCAGGTAAGTGATACCTGAACATATCCCTCAAATTCTTCAGGTAATGCAGTTTTCAATCACTTAGCCGAGAGTATGGATGGTAGAAGTTGATTGAGGGTTGACAGGAAGGAGGGGCAGGAGAATGGGGTTAATACTTACCAATACTGATTTCAAAATGGACAGGCTTATCTCCAACTTTCTTATCAATCATGGAAGCCTCCAGGAAACATCCAAACAGATAATACTCCTCCAAACGTCCTGTAGCATTCTAGGAATTTGTAAAAAAGTTGAATTATAATCATTTTGTAAGCAATTATATTTTTTATCATAATATTTAAATTTCTTTAATGAATATTTCTCCTACAATTAATTTTGTAAAAATTATTTTTTTTTTTAACTAATTTACATTAATTTGCAATACATATAATTGCCATGGTAACCATTTAATCCAAATCTATTTCATTTGATGTTTTTCATTCATTTAAACAAAACAAAGCCCTCAAATCATGAAGCAATTTGCAAATGACATTGTCTAAGTCCAATGGTTGAAATTTCATTTAAATCAACATGACTTTAACATAAAATAAAGTACAGATTTGACCCATGTTTATATGACCTTGACATAGCTATTGTGACCTTGACATATCTATGACTAACCTACCTCTGGAATTGGCAGTGCTGGTTCCAGTTCAACCATAGCTTTGTTAGAGCCCTCCTCCACACTATCAATGATATCGGTTTTAAGAGAGATGAGGAGACGGCCCCGATACGACACTCCCTCACCAAGTCCATCATTGAGGTGTGTATTTTCATCCAAAAGGCTGTAGTCACGTATAGATCCATATAAGTTGATCCAACAGGGGCCAAAAGTTGGAAGGAAACCTGAAACAAGGCACCATTATCTATGTAAGTATATGGACACTGTCTTATGACTCCTAGGAATAATGTTGTCCTATTCAGTAATGATGTAATAATCTGTCAGTGTACTAAACCAACTAGGTCCAACCTGTTAACAGACATCTCCAGATAACACATAACAAATAGATGTCCTGGTTTGAATTCTCATTTCAATTTGGCCAAAATACATATCTTTTCTACAACTTCTATCTTTTTCCTTTTCACCATTTTCTTTTCAAAATGTGAAATCAGCATTTTTAATTTTCTAGATATTTAATGCATTCTTTCACTTAATAAGCCATGTAAGTATATGCACCTAAATGTTTCTCTAAATTAATGCAAAACTACAGGTTATTTTTTATATGTTTAAATGATAAATGATCAAATGTTAGTATTGTGTGGAGGGCACCCCCGTCATAGCCATCAAAATTTCTACAAGCTAAGTTCAGTACACTTTCTAGAAATATTTCTACAAGCTGAGTTCTGTACACTTTCTAGAAATATTTCTACAAACTGAGAGTGCACTTTCTGAGTTCAGTACACTTTCTGAGTTCAGTGCACTTTCTGAGTTCAGTGCACTTTCTAGAAATATTTCTACAACCTGAGTTCAGTGCACTTTCTAGAAATATTTCTACAACCTGAGTTCAGTACACTTTCTAGAAATATTTCTACAACCTGAGTTCAGTGCACTTTCTAGAAATATTTCTACAGGCTGAGTTCAGTGCACTTTCTAGAAATATTTCTACAACCTGAGTTCAGTACACTTTCTAGAAATATTTCTACAGGCTGAGTTCAGTACACTTTCTAGAAATATTTCTACAGGCTGAGTTCAGTGCACTTTCTAGAAAAAGTTCTAAAGGCTGAGTTCAGTACACTTACTCGACATATTTCTACAACCTGAGTTCAGTACACTTTCTGAGCTCAGTACACTTTCTAGAAATATTTCTACAAACTGAGAGTGCACTTTCTAGAAATATTTCTACAACCTGAGTTCAGTACACATTCTAGAAATATTTCTACAGGCTGAGTTCAGTGCACTTTCTAGAAATATTTCTACAAGCTGAGTTCTGTACACTTTCTGAGTTCAGTACACTTTCTGAGTTCAGTACACTTTCTGAGTTCAGTGCACTTTCTAGAAATATTTCTACAAACTGAGAGAGCACTTTCTAGAAATATTTCTACAACCTGAGTTCAGTGCACTTTCTAGAAATATTTCTACAACCTGAGTTCAGTGCACTTTCTAGAAATATTTCTACAACCTGAGTTCAGTGCACTTTCTAGAAATATTTCTACAACCTGAGTTCAGTACACTTTCTAGAAATATTTATACAGGCTGAGTTCAGTACACTTTCTAGATATATTTCTACAGGCTGAGTTCAGTGCACTTTCTAGAAATATTTCTACAGGCTGAGTTCAGTACACTTTCTGAGCTCAATACACTTTCTAGAAATATTTCTACAACCTGAGTTCAGTACACTTTCTGAGCTCAGTACACTTTCTAGAAATATTTCTACAAACTGAGAGTGCACTTTCTAGAAATATTTCTACAACCTGAGTTCAGTACACATTCTAGAAATATTTCTACAGGCTGAGTTCAGTGCACTTTCTGAGCTCAATACACTTTCTAGAAATATTTCTACAGGCTGAGTTCAGTACACTTTCTAGAAATATTTCTACAGGCTGAGTTCAGTACACTTTCTGAGTTCAGTGCACTTTCTAGAAATATTTCTACAACCTGAGTTCAGTACACTTTCTAGAAATATTTCTACAGGCTGAGTTCAGTACACTTTCTAGATATATTTCTACAGGCTGAGTTCAGTGCACTTTCTAGAAATATTTCTACAGGCTCAGTTCAGTACACTTTCTGAGCTCAATACACTTTCTAGAAATATTTCTACAACCTGAGTTCAGTACACTTTCTGAGCTCAGTACACTTTCTAGAAATATTTCTACAAACTGAGAGTGCACTTTCTAGAAATATTTCTACAACCTGAGTTCAGTACACATTCTAGAAATATTTCTACAGGCTGAGTTCAGTGCACTTTCTAGAAATATTTCTACAAGCTGAGTTCTGTACACTTTCTGAGTTCAGTACACTTTCTGAGTTCAGTGCACTTTCTAGAAATATTTCTACAAACTGAGAGAGCACTTTCTAGAAATATTTCTACAACCTGAGTTCAGTGCACTTTCTAGAAATATTTCTACAACCTGAGTTCAGTGCACTTTCTAGAAATATTTCTACAACCTGAGTTCAGTGCACTTTCTAGAAATATTTCTACAACCTGAGTTCAGTACACTTTCTAGAAATATTTCTACAGGCTGAGTTCAGTACACTTTCTAGAAATATTTCTACAGGCTGAGTTCAGTGCACTTTCTAGAAATATTTCTACAGGCTGAGTTCAGTACACTTTCTGAGCTCAGTACACTTTCTAGAAATATTTCTACAAACTGAGAGTGCACTTTCTAGAAATATTTCTACAACCTGAGTTCAGTACACATTCTAGAAATATTTCTACAGGCTGAGTTCAGTGCACTTTCTGAGCTCAATACACTTTCTAGAAATATTTCTACAGGCTGAGTTCAGTACACTTTCTAGAAATATTTCTACAACCTGAGTTCAGTACACTTTCTGAGTTCAGTGCACTTTCTAGAAATATTTCTACAACCTGAGTTCAGTACACATTCTAGATATATTTCTACAGGCTGAGTTCAGTGCACTTTCTAGATATATTTCTACAACCTGAGTTCAGTACACTTTCTAGAAATATTTCTACAACCTGAGTTCAGTGCACTTTCTAGAAATATTTCTACAACCTGAGTTCAGTACACCTTCTAGAAATATTTCTACAACCTGATTTCAGTACACTTTCTAGAAATATTTCTACAGGCTGAGTTCAGTGCACTTTCTAGAAATATTTCTACAGGCTGAGTTCAGTACACTTTCTGAGTTCAGTGCACTTTCTAGAAATATTTCTACAACCTGAGTTCAGTACACTTTCTAGAAATATTTCTACAACCTGAGTTCAGTGCACTTTCTAGAAATATTTCTACATTCTGAGTTCAGTACACTTTCTAGAAATATTTCTACAGGCTGAGTTCAGTACACTTTCTAGATATATTTCTACAACCTGAGTTCAGTGCATTTTCTAGAAATATTTCTACAACCTGATTTCAGTACACTTTCTAGAAATATTTCTACAGGCTGAGTTCAGTGCACTTTTTAGAAATATTTCTACAGGCTGAGTTCAGTACACTTTCTAGAAATATTTCTACAGGCTGAGTTCAGTACACTTTCTAGAAATATTTCTACAACCTGAGTTCAGTACACTTTCTAGAAATATTTCTACAGGCTGAGTTCAGTGCACTTTCTAGAAATATTTCTGTTCCTTTTTACATGGTTTGTTAACATAGTCATACATAAAAATGGATGCCCTTTTTTGGTGTCCTTTTTAAGTACACAATAATCTAAGAACTTGAATAGGTTGGAATTCCTGTGAGATGACCCTGCCAGTACACACCAAGCACTTTCATATCTCTTAATTGGGCACTCCAGTTCAAGTGCCCCAGTGAGCACACAGCTGGTACCTTTTTTTTACAAGCACTTTCATATTTTTTAATTGGATGCTCCTGTTGAGCTCCATGGTGAGTATAGCTGATTTTCTGTTGTCCCTATTGAGTGTCCCTGTTAGTATATTCAAATACATTGTATTGCATAGGGTGTACGCACATATTAGTAGTACTTCAATATGTTATGTATAAATGAGTTTTCCTTGTTTGCACATAAAAAGTTCTTCCATAAATTTCACTTGGGTGCATATAATGGGTGTCCCTGTGGGGATCCTTTGTTAATATACAACAAGCTCTTTAATATTGCACATTTGGGTGCCCCTCTGGGAAATCCTGTTAATACACAACAAGCACTTTAATATTTTAACGTTAGTTGCCCCTGTGGGGATCCCCTGTGTACAGTTAGTACTTTAAATATTCTACAGTAGAGTGTTCCTTTTAATACACGAGTACTTTAATATTTTAACGTTAGTTGCCCCTGTGGGGATCCCCTGTGTACAGTTAGTACTTTAAATATTCTAAGTGTTCCTGTTAATACACAAGTACTTTGCATTTCTACAGTTAGTATTGTTAAGTAGAAGGCTCCTGTAATGGCCCATTGGTTGCTATATTTTGCTTACCATCTTTGTGGTTTGTCTTCTCTAGAATGAAAACATTATATAATACACATTAATTATCTTCGGTCACATGACACAAAAAGGTAAATACTCATTACAAAACCCGCTTAATCTACCTTGGCTGTATTTCAGAACTAAGCTTTTTTGTTTTTCACCGAAATGACCTCACATACAGAAAGTTACTATAATATAATACAATATGATATATATGATACTATTACATATAGATAATACTCTCCCTTTGACCTTACACCTCCAGCTACCAGCATCAATCAGTTTGAAAGATATTATTGAGTTGCCTCCCTTTGGTCAAAAACGACCTGATCAAATTATTTCTGTTGACATGCATTTCAAAATAAAGAGTGCTCAGTTTTTTACCATTTGTGTAGTGTAATAAGAAACAGAAAAAAGTTATCTGATATCCACTTCTTTTAATTTTGCAGATTTACCTAAATTACAACTAAAGTTATCTCCCTTCACCCAAATGCTGGATTTGGACTAGTAATTTGATCCATGTGCAAAATGCATGTGACAATACCATTTCCTTTCCACAATTATCATTTGAATGCTGACCTAGGTGCAACTTGCTTCTTTCATTCACTTTATATAGGGCAAGAGTTCTGACAACATTGACTCCACACCAACATAAAGAAGTTGAACATAAAATATAATTAGGATAGACTATAGATAACCATGAATCTCGTTTGGTGCTTATATTAGTGCAAAGATCAGGTAATTGTTAAGCCAGCTACCCTTGAAAATTTTGAGCAAACTTAAATGTTCAGTTCCCTTCATTAAATCACTGCAATCCTTACCACTTTTGGCCTCTCTCTTCTCTATAAACAAATAACGATTACCTGGCATCAATCATCTGCAGAATGCCTGTCTTATCATATATAGGTAAATTGATTAAGGTCCTGCTGGTTTTTCAGTTGGCACTTATGATAAAAGACATGAAATTTCACTTTTTTATTTAAACTAAAAAAGTGCCCCTGCTTCTATGAAAACCAGAATTCAACCAAGTTTAGAACTTTTGAGGCTAAGGGGCAAATGTGAACCCAAATGTATTTAGAGGTTCTCAAAATATGATTCTGATTTGTAATGAGACAGGTGGACATGAGTTGTATCCCCTGATGTAAAGTTTAAAAATTTACAAACAACATTTAAATATGCACAAAAGAATTCACAACCATACGGTTCCATGTAGGATGACACAACTTGACAAAAGTTGATGAAGAGTTATGTTTTTTCAGCCATGTGTTAGATCACAATCACCATGGTGAAAAACCCCACTGTTGTCAACATCGCAGCACTGCAGAGTAATTATGTCACTAAACTTCAAACATCATAATAACGGGTGGGTGATTGGAGAGCACAAATCAAACTAATTTTTGACTCATTTTGATTTTACAAAGATTTACAGAAGAATCTGACTCTGCTACATCATTGCGTTTCCGGTTGAATGCTTTCAAAGAGTCTCTACATCATATCAAGCGACAAGTCGTCCCAGATATTCATTCTACGTAATCTACCTTTGTCTCCTTCGTTGGATATCTTAGAGATGTCAATGAAGAATGTGCCAATGATATCATCGTTGACTTTGTCACTGTCCCGTAGTTGCACTTTCATCCTTCGACATAATGGTGGAAACATTTCTGTAAACACAAGCTGTTCATTCCACACAGGTTCGTAACATCCCTTCTTTACCGACGTCTTCCCCTGGTGGAATACACGAGTGACAAAAGCTAGATATTTCTTCCATTCACATCAATCAGTAATGTAGCAAACAATTAACCAAGATGAACAAACAACACTCTCTAGAGATTCAGACTGTAGTTATGATGAGTTCAAACAAAGTGAAAGTCATTTCACTAAAGATTTATTCAAAATTTAGTCAAATCAGTCGCAAGATATGATCATCTATACCTCTATATTTATTCTATCATAAATCATGGACTCGCTCACATAAATAACACCTGACCTTTGACCCAGCTTTACCATGAAGTATTCAATGACCTATGACCTATTCTTTTCAACCTACCACATGTCCAGCGAATGACACTGATACATAGGGATCCACCAAATCCTTTGTTTCACCAGTGAAAGCCTTTTTCACGTTAGCCATGATCCCAGTATTCATTTTTGGTAGGCCCTCTGCCTTCAGGATGCGAACAGTGAATTTGGCACGTTGACGATCTGCTGGAACACCTTCTGGCAGTAACAGGTTCCTGTAAAATTTTAAAATTACAGTGGAAGCCAACCCTGTGGTGAAGCAGAAGTAAAATCTGTGTGATACTTTCTGGTTCATCCATCCCTTTGGAAAAAAAACTTAGCTGAAATACTTTTTCAATATACATGTTCACTTTTATTTTTTTATGATCACAAAATCAGCTGGCATTCGATTCCCCTGTTTTGTAAAAAAAAAGAACAAAAAATGTGTTTAAGAATATTTTGACATGCATCAAGACTTACAATCCACTGTATAGAAACTTTTCCATGCTTCGTTTATACACACACAGCTCCTACAAATCATGTTGCTTACCCTTCAATGTCGTCCTCATCCTTGTCAGTTTTGGGGGGAACCTGAGAACAAAGTAAGTAGGTAAGACTCACACCTATCACATGCTGCACCACTTCAATTTCATAATGATATCTTTAATATTTGTTATACAATGAAGCACAAGGGAAAAAATCGTGAAATTTTAGTTACTCAATTCACCAAATTAATCCACTGTTGTCTCATGATTTCCAGCAATAAGCCCATCTCCATATTCATCCATGATTGAAAGAATAATAAAAAACAGTTTGATTTCCTGTTATAAGCCCACCCCCTAAGGTCATGTAAGTTGGATTCTGGGCTACTGACAGAATTGGTATGGAAATCATACTAAAATGTTAATCCAATAGATTTCCTTCTTTATCAACATATTGGAATAGGTGGGCTTATTGAAGTACAACTGATTACCAACAGAAGTGGGCTTATTGGTAGGGATGCTTTCTAGATAAAGTAAGTTTCGAAAGGAACATTAGCAAACTGCAAATGTTACAATACATCAGTACAGCATAGGTTTGAAATAGGATGCCATTTTAAAATGGTATTTATTTTTTTAAAATATACCCAAAGAATCTACAATACTTCAGCATTAAATGAAAACATTGAAAACATAAAGCTCACTGATTGAATTTTTCTATAGTTCAACCAAAATCATATTGCTGATGATTTGTTGAAGAAAAGAGAAATTGAACTGATAACCCCACGAAATTTTTAAAAAGTTTTCAATATTTTTATAGACTCAGTTATGCAATTATAACTTACAATGTATCAAATATGACTATTATCAATTTCTCTAATGTACTACCTTTACAGAGTCGCCTTTCCCTATCACAGCTATATCAACTTTGACGTAACCTTTGACCCCTCCATTGATGTCGTCCGAGTCAGTCAACATTGCCCATTTATGATAAAACTGTCGATCTACAATTTAAGAAAAAATCTACAGAAAAAGGGTTTGAAAAATTTGCACAACTCTAGATATCATAAGCAGTTTATACGTAATATGATAAATTTTATCATTATTTATTAATATACATATAACGCTTTATCATATATATTCATTGTCTTACAGCATCATAAAATGTTCATTCTAAATAATGTAGTACTCATAGTAGCTGAGAAAACAGAAGCCATTTCATGTGATAATCCAAAATAACAAAATTTTGATAAATTTATAAAGATAAACTATGAAATATGAAAATATTATTTATCTCTAGATAGAAACAAATTGATTCAACGTATCACTCTATTGCAAATTAATCGATAGTCTTTAAAATTGAAAAATGATATTTTCCAACAGCAATTTAAGCAACAAAAACATTTTTCTAACCAACAATTATTTATTAGAAGAAGAAAAAAAAACACACAACATTCATTCGTGCAAAAATTATCAAAACTTCCATATTATAAGACAAGGATTGAGCCAGATACCGGAAATAAAATTATCAAGATCAAGGCAGATCAAGCTCATTAAATGTAGAAAATGTTGAATTCATTATCTAAGAATATATATAAACACATACACAAAAGTTCAAGGCATTGAAATATTAAAATATAATTATATGATATTGCTAGATATTTTTCTGTTTTTTAAAATCTCTTGAAATAATCTAATAACCCAATGCACCAGCACAATCAAATAGAAAATGAAAATCTTTCTATATTTGAATTTTAATCAATTTTGAAAAACAAAACAGTTTTTTTCAAAACACAATGACACGTCAATCGTCCTTCAACAAATTTGAAATATTAATTATCACTGGAAATAATTTGGCAATTAGAGCCCTGGGATTTTTGTTTTCTTTTTTTTTTATGAAAAAAAATTATCAACTTAAATTTTTTCAAAAATACAAAAAAAAAGGACATTTAACATTCTGCAGAATGAGGAAGGCATACTGATGTAGCCATTTTCTGCGTTAAAAAAAACTGGCAACGCAACATCATTCATTGGCATATCAATTAATATATTGTTAGGAAAGCCAAAAGCACCACAGAAACAGACAGACAGATATTATTGAATACAAATGTATTAGTAAATAACACAGTGATTTTATATAAAAGTCTGAATTTATACAACGTATATAACACAGAGAAAAGAATGACAATTCAAAATTATCAGGTTGTCATTGTTAGACTTTTGATCATTTGCAATAAACATCTTAACATTTTTTTTTACCTGTAATAACATGTTTTCTATTTTACCTGCTCTCCTGTGATATATGTCTATTGTGATTTTTCAATTCAGTACCTTGTGCATTGTAAACTGTGCCGACATCAAGTTTGTAAGTTCCGAGAGGCTTGTTGGAGCGGAATAGACGTCCCGACTGACAAACCTAACCATGGACAACATAGATCTCGTCAGTCGTCATAGCAACAGGATTCTCCACTCACATACACACACATTCGTGTGAACAGGTGAGACAAACGGTTTGCAATTAACATTTAATCAGACTTAAAATCATTGATTTTCTATCTATTTCTATTCACTTAATGGAGGAAAGAAAAAACCCAGACATATCACCTGGAAATTAAAGAAATTGGGTTTTGTTTTTTGTTGACTTTTCTCTGATGCATCATCAATGTTATGAAATAGTAAACAAATAATATTTCAACTTTTTCTCTTTATTTTTTTGTGAATCAATGTTTGAAAATTTTCAAATCTTTTAAAGATTTATGCGATGCCTGAAAACTATGAAATTGATAGCAAAGTCTACCTTGTTCTTAAACAAATTTTTTTCCATACAAAACTGAAGCATTAACGTTATTTGGGTTATTTCCCCTTAATCGTACACAAATGATGTCACCAATGAAATATCAACAATCAACATTCAGAGGAATAATCTAATAAGCAAATTGGACATCTTTTTAAAATTCATTTGCATATTTTTTTTAATTTTTTCTTTTTAATTTGTTTTTTTTCTTTCTTCATTTTCTTTCATAGTGAATTTTGTAATTATCTATTTTTTTATCATTTTAACTTTTATTTTCCATTTTTTTTTTTTTTTAATTAAGCAAAATTTTCAATTAATTGAGTAAACAGTTCCTGATATTGATTTTCCTAATTGAATTTGCTTGTTAGATAGTGTAGCAGAAAAGACCCGAACTATGCTAACTCCAAAAGCCAGAAATGATAAACAGGAAATGTGATACAATACAAGAGTTGTCTGCCAGAACAACTGATCTAGTAACCATGACAATTCAATACAGAGATTTTTTTGTCATCCCTCAAGTCTGTCAAATGATATGTTAAAATTGTCCTTTTTTGGTTTCTCTCGCTCATTTTCATAGCTTTAGCTCCTCTTTCATGATAAAAATATGACATACAGCTACAATTTGAAATAGTGTTTTTCCTGTATTGGTGACAAATATCATTAGACTATCCTGTAATAGGCCTGCATCTAAACATCAAATCCGAGGTTAGCCATCAGCTCCTGAGTTTATGACAGAATAAATATTATCAGGGAACAGATTCTGTTGTTCTTGCATAAAGCTGCGAAGGGACAACATATTCAATGTTTACCTTAAAGGTTCTAGGTAGATCTAACATGCTTACTAAATAGTAAGTACACTTGTATATACTACAGGATCCAATTTGTCAGTCCTCAAAATCTCAATCTTAAAAGCTGTATCAGTCACATGTTATCAAAACAAAAGTTTCTATCAAATTTAGATAAAAAAACTGCACATTTGGACATCCACAAGACTTTTTCTATAAAACAGTGCAAAATGTTTTTAAATCATTAAAAAGAAAAATTAAAACTGAATTTTGTTATCGAAAGAAAAAAGATGGGGGTTGGAGCGGAGGTAGTTTGTTTTCCATTAGGCACACCATGTAAACACTTTATTTTCTCAACTGAAATCACGTTTTTAAGATCCTGGTTGATGGTTGTGGACTGACAAAAACCTAAATGTTAACCAACTGACAAAGGGCAAAAAAAACCAATAGAAATCAAGGCAAGAAAATGCAATTTGACTCATTTGCAAGCAAGACTGATAAAACATTCAGAACTTTTTGGGGGGGGAAGGGGTGGGCGGGGGGAAGGTAATTAGTGTGCAGTTTTCCTTACTTTCATTTTTTCATTATATTTGTTATACAATCAAAGTGATAAATAAAAATTCACTAAGAGCTCAATGATGAATAGGCAAAAACTGCTGATACATGCTGGGAAAAAGGGAGGTGCATTATGGAATCAAAGTTCTCTTGTTATTATTCAATTTTGTGTTCAACAGGGCAAAAAAAGATTTTTCCAAAATATTTCAAGCAGTTGGAATTTAAAAATCGATATGTAATTTGTACTCTATATATCTGTAGTTCTAAATTTATCATCTCTACCATAGTAAATTGTCAAATTATTTTCAAAGACAGAAGAAATAATTGAAAAGCAACGTGCAGTGAACAATGAGCAGAACTTTTCATTCACTCAACTATCTGTTCATATATCCTTAGACAAAATAAATAGGATATGAGCTACATGCCAGGAAGTACCAAGCATGCAGGTAACTTGATCAGGTCTTCAAGAGTTTTGAAGACCAAGAACAAATAAAAGTACCAGGAGCGCTATAAGCCGTCCCGATATCTATCTTGAAACTGCCCACTCGGGTACCGGAGCTGAGTAGGTTACGAGAGTGGAGCACCTGGGGGGAGGAACACAAAATTTGTAAATAAAAACTACAAAAAAAAAAAAAAAATAAGTTGCAAGGCTACAAGGTCAACAAAGGTCATTACACAAAGAATATCACACTGGTTCAAACGCACAAGACACATGATACATAAATACGCAGATCATTGTGAGTTTTGTTGTGTTTTACATAACTAAATAAAAAATGCATGCAATGTTGCAAGTTTACACAATTGATGTTTAAATATTGCAAATTATGAAATTACTTCATAATTTTACAGATGTAAATTTTTCTCATGTATATATTTTCTGAAGTTTTAATGTACCAAAACACAGTAAAATTTAGCAGTCAGCGATTCTATAAACTGTTAAAATGCAGTCATAAAATTTGCATTCAAATATGAAAAGAATCTAAGCCCTTTCAATTAAGATTTTTCGGAGAAAACTAGCATTTGAAATGAAATTGTTTGCAAATATTTTGTGCATGGTTGACACAATAACAGAACAATAATATAGTTATGATCATGTGACAGGAAGTAGATGTGAATTTCTAACATTGATTGGCAGGTTCACTATCAGGGGAGATAATCACTAAAACAAGGGAGACAATCTAATACATACACGTATCTATACCAAAAATGGGACACAAAACCTAACATCAGAACAGGGAAGACAAACTAACATATAAAAAACAAGGGAGACACTTAAACCAACAATACAACACTATTTACATTTATAATACACAAATGCCATATTTTATTCTTTAAAATTGTATGTATAGTTTAAAGTAATGATGACCTATTTACATCTAGTTTGTGATACCAAAGCAAGTTAGTTTATCAGTTGCCACTTTGGTTATCCTTTATTCAGTTAAGATAAAACTGGGGTTGACTCACACCAGAATAGTATTTCACATGATAAACATCCTATATATACATGAACATATGAAACATATTAAGTAAAATATCATTTTAAAAACATCAATATCTTAAATTGACAATTCTTGATGGATGATCTATTTTGCATTTATTACCTTTTTAAAGTCCATATATGAGGTACACTTTCACACATTTAATCACTCAAATTGAACTGAATTAAAAACAGACAAAGGGCCCTTCACATGCAGTTACATATATACATATTTTGGGACCTTTAGGCTAACATGTACTGCTCGAGGGTCATATAAAGAATGACCTGTTCAGTTACAGGGCACTACCGTGTCATGTATACATATCATGGGGCCTTACAATATATATGTACAGATTCAAGTGGCTTTACAGAGAGCATGTACATGTTCAGGGCCTAACAAAGAAATTAATATATATCTGGAATGCTACAATATGGCATGTAGATATTCTGGGCCGGACAAAGGAATTTATACAGATTTCAGGCCATACAGATTACTTGTACATGGACAAATCTGGATTCCATTCAATCACAAATGCAGATCAGGGGCCTTAAAGAAACCACAAATACAGATTCAGGGGCCTTAAAAAAACCACAAATACAGATCAGGGGCCTTAAAAAATCACAAATACAGATCAGGGGCCTTAAAAAAAACCACAAATACAGATCAGGGGCCTCAAAAAACCACAAATACAGATCAGGGGCCTTAAAAAACCACAAATACAGATCAGGGGCCTTAAACAAATTCTTTAATGAATAAGGGATCTCCTTAAGGGAGCTTGTACAAACATACCGTCAGCGTAATGATCTTGTCAAACAGCATAGCAGGTGCCATATGGAAGTCAAATACAAAATACTGTAATGGATAAAAACATTGATCAACAGACATAATACACATAATATCATTGTATGTAATTTTGTAAGAAAACAAAAATTAACCGCAATTTTTCAATAAACACCTCAAGCAATTTAGATGAGAAAATGAAACAAAAAATCTGGGAAAAAACAGTAAATCATAAGAAAATGATTAACTGCCAATTTTGATGATTTCGTTAACATTCACTCACTTATAAAAGTTGTAACATCAAAGCTGCTTGCTATGGTGATCTTAATATTCAGCAAAGGGCAAGTCATTAATTTCAGATATTGAAAATATTGGTGTCTACAAAATGAACCCAAAGACTGCTTTCTTCCACAAGAGGCCTTTTAGACATGATTTTTTTCTGGCTTGGGGTTAGAGAATATTTGGATAGTATGATGTTATGACTTTTCTTGCTTTAATAAGGACATCAGGACATATTCTGCCATTGTTATAAGGGTGTTAAGATGTTGGGATGTTGGGATAATTAACTTGCTGTAGTGAGGACATTGAAACATTTGGATATCAGGATTATTACCTCGCTGTGATAAGGATATTGAGACATTGGGATGTTGGGATTATTACTTTGCTGTAGTGAGGATGACAAGACATTGTGATGTTGAAATTGTTACCTTGCTGTAGTGAGGATGACAAGACACTGTGATGTTGAAATTGTTACCTTGCTGTAGTGAGGATGACAAGACATTGGGATGTTGGGATTATTACTTTGCTGTAGTGAGGAGAAAAGACATTGTGATGTTGGAATTATTACCTCGCTGTAGTAAGGAGATAAGACATTGTGATGTTGGAATTATTACCTCGCTGTAGTAAGGAGATAAGACATTGTGATGTTGGAATTATTACCTCGCTGTAGTAAGGAGATAAGACATTGTGATGTTGGAATTATTACCTCGCTGTAGTAAGGACAATTCGTTGATTCCTTCACACTTGTATATTTCTTCTGGTCACCAACCTGGACACAGACCACGGGATCCATGTTTAGTCCTGCCAATTGTCGTGCTTCTATCACAGTTATACAGACCTGAAAAAACATAGGTCAAGGTCAATATGATAAAAATCACCTATTCGCTACAGTTTTGAAGTGGAAAATGCATTTTGATGGAAATCACCTTTATCTGAAACAAAACATCATTTTTCCATTACAAATTTGTTCTGAGGTGTTACAGAACATTAAAATGCATCTCATCTAACATCAGCATATTGCACAGATTGTATCACATGACTAAATTGATTATATTTCTATTTTTTGCAAATAACATTAGAAACTAAATCCTTTCATTTATATTATTTTCAGTCTTTTTATCGTATGGTTTCCATAAATCTGAAAATTTTGTTACTTTGGAATTTGATATTTCATCAACTAAAACTAATAGTGTTCATTTGTAAAGTAAATCACATTGTACCTACTTACCTGAAAATCCTGGGCTTTTAAAGATGCCGGCTCCATTTGTTGTGGTCTTCCCTTGTTTCTGTAATGTTTAATTTCATCAAATTGTCTAATATTTTTTTTATGGAAAACACCAAAAGATTGATACAGATTGATACAGAACACCTGTTTTCATATCAAAGATGTATGAAAGTCTGGAGACATTGATAATAACATCTAAGATTTTACCCTGTATATTATTTTATGTTACCTTAAGTTATCTTAGAACCAAAAGGCACTCCGTACAAAATCAAACCAGAATCTACTGAGCCTTTCTAGATTAGTAGTTTTTCAAGTGAAACTTTCCATTAACTTAATAACATGCAATGCCATCATAACTGTATTACACTTTGTACATATGAATTAAATGAAATAGTACAAATATTGATATTTTGAAACAAGGTAAATTAAATTCACGGAACATTTTTTTGTTTTCATTTCACATATTTTTTGCATTGGTGTCTCTGAGGAATGACGCAAAATAATTTCCTCATCATGTTTACAAACATTAATGTATTTAACCTAGTGACCTAGAATAAGACCGTTGACATCTTAATTACAGATGAATAATTTCAAACGTGACAAAATTAGCTTTTCAAGTTAATTCTAAAATTCATTATTTCTCTTGAAAGTTAAACCCATTGGTTGATATTTCCTTAACCTTTTACATTTGAGAAGGAGACAAGACTTTATCAACAAACTAGTTTAATTACACAAAGCCAGCTAATCAATATCGTGTCCAGATAATGGTTCCAAAGGTCATAGTGAAGATATAAGCGTAGTAGGTCCAAGTCAGAAGTAAACGATTCTATAAACATGCTATTTCCTATACCTACTCTCCGTATTCCTGTGCTGACTGTAAATATATTTATCCTGCAATAAGACTGCAGCAGAGTAAAGTTATAAACCCATACTATTTCGTTGTCTGTAATAAGCCCATCCTTGGATTTTGAGACAGAAGTAATGTGTTAAATAGTAACATATTTATCCATTAATAAGCCCATCGACATTTACTGAAGTTAAAGCAAATCCATTAAAATTACTGTCCTTAATTAAGCCCATCTCTTTACTTAACATTTGAAATAATATCCGTATGAATGCCTGACATTGCCTGACCTGCCTAAATTTGCCTATGGGCTTTCATGACCTTGCCTAAATTTACCTGACCTTGTATGACCAATCCTGACCTTGTTTGACCTTGTATGCCCTTGTACGAGTTTACCTTACCTGACCCTGTTAAAGATTATCTAGACTTACCTCACTTTCAATGATCTTTTATGAGTTGCCTGAACTGTCTTGTGCTTGCCTCACCTTTTACATCCTTATTTGAGCTTCAATGACATTGCATGACCTTGCTTGAACTCACCTGACCTTGTATGACCTGATCTGACCTGGCATGATCTTATCTAACCTTGGCTTACTTGTATGAACTTGTATGACCATAACTGACCTTATTTGACCTTGCCTGGCCTTTATCAACACTTCACCTCACCAATGTCCCATCCTAATGCCATTACAACCCCTAACTATGCTGCCCTACCTTCTGTTGGTGACTGGTGTAGCTATTGCCGATGACTGACTGCCCTGATCATCTTCCATTTGATCAGCTCGAGCCCCTAACATGGACGCCACTTCTGCTGCTCGTGCATCCAAGCTTGGGTCTGAGATTAGAGTATACAACACCATGTGTTCTAATATCATATTTAACAAACATGTACAAAATTGTTTCCACTTTGACATCACAGACAAAAAACTTCAGAACTGAAACTGCACATCTGTCATTTGCTGTGAGTGTTGAAATTAATTTTTGAAACATTATTCACGTGTTAAGTAAATTGCATATTTTTTCTTTGAATTTTAATTATACAAATACTACAAATGTATATCTTTTTGGAGTAATAATATTAACTGCCTTTCACTGATGAAGCATTGCATTAATTTAAAATGAGCCAATTGCAGTCTGTTTGTTGTTGCTTAACGTCCTACTAACAGTCAGGTTCATTCAAGGACATGTCAGGTTTAGGTGGTGGAGGAAAACCGGAGTTCCCGGAGATAAACCACTGACATGCAGCCAGTACCTGGTGACTGCCCTACATAGACAACAAACCTGTGACCCTGAGGTGGAGGGCTGGTGATAATGAGGGTCAGAGGCCACTTGGCAACTGCAGACCCTGCAGTCTTTGCAATTTTTTCAATGCACATACAGTTTAAAAGTGAAAAATTTCGACAAAATACTAAAATTTTATCAGACTAAAATATATCTGAATTCATTTTCATGTTGCATATACAACAGCTGATCACACGTCAAAGGATATCAGATCTTCAATATTTTAGATTACTTTCTACAACTTTTCATTGGTGACCTCTTGACCTTTTGTAACTATAAATCACCCTGTACCTGTTTCAATTTCGTCTATAAGGGACTGTTTCTCATCGATATCTGACCGCTTCCCAGAGCCCATCATCATCTTGACGACTGAGGGGAAGTTTTTCACACTGAAACATACAAGTGTTTGTAAAATATGACTGAAACACCTGGTTGTGTTCACCTTTCCAAACAAATGAGAGGAAAGCACTCATAAGCATTGAATTGTCCAAAATGAACATACCTATTTAACTTTCAACAAGTCATTACGATTGCACTATACAAAAGAAAAATTTGATAAATATCCAGAATCAGAAATGCACAGTTCCACTCTCCAAACTCCAGGAAAGGTTGTTTTGTCAGGTTGTGCCATGCCTTTTCCTTTATTTACTCTTTAACCTCATTCTAACCTTAATTGTATAAATTCTGTTGTCCTTTTGCCCTTTATCCCTAAATCTGTGTGAACCCCTAACAGTTACAGTTACAATTAATCTCTCTACCCTTCCACTACCATTTTATACATACTGTTTTGGGGACCTGCCACCAGAGGTACGCGAGGTTTTCGAGGCGAGACTGAGACGTGACTCCCTGAGGGAAGCCTTTGAAGGGCTTGTCAGGATGGATTCAGATTCTCCGATGCTGCTACGACTGCCAAGATTGAGTTGGTTTCGTTCCTCCTCAGTTAACGGCACACGTAATTCATCACTTTTCAATTGTTTGAATTCCCCCTTCTGCCAAAGCCCTACTGACCCGTCCGGAGCATTGTAGGTCAGCTCAAATGTTATCGTTGTCTGAAAATAAGTGAATTTGTTATACCTGTTTGACATCTATGGTGTTATCATCTACTGTAGGATGATTAATAAGCACAGAGAGTTTATACATTCATTGATTTTCTGGCTACAATTGAGTAACAAAGTCATATGTCCAAAAAATGAGAAACTGCTAAAAATGCATGTCATTTTAGCACATGAGGATATGGTAAGTACTTTTTATCCACAGAACCAAATGTTTATGAGAAAAGCATGAAAATCTATAAATATATAAAGCATCACCAGGAATATTTTTTTGCTAAAATGGATAAAGAATTTTTTTTATCATTAGTAAACAAACATTTGATGACCTACAGGTTGTTTGGGGGCTCTCAGATATTATTTGTCTCTTATGGTAACAAATAAAACGACTATAACATTTACTTCTCGGAATATGGGAAAATGTTTACCATAGTCTTCATTTTGTGGATTTCACTTTTTTTTATAAGGCAAAAATAAAACAGAAACTGAAGTCCTTTAAGTTCAAGTGGAAACATGCATTTATATCAAAATGTAATTACAAACTAGTCAAAAATTTATTTTTCTATCAAACAATTACGATTTTCCACCACATATGTGATAAATCACACAAGATCAATTATTTGACAGCTATCATGGGGAAAAAAATTAGTTACCGAAAAAAAGCTAGATTTATAATACAAATTTTGAAGAAGAAAATAAAAGGGAAATAACTCTTGGTTAAAAGTCGCTGATGTACCTTTATGGGATGGAATTGAAAAACTCTATTAATTTTTGTTGAAATTCCCTTGGTAAAACAAAAGGAATACTTTTTATTGTGTCTGCTCAATATCTGCTGTCATTGTTTTCATGATTTACGAGACATGTTATATCAATAGACAATTCCGTTACACTCTTAACAGGAAATTCTGGCAGTCGTAACCTAAAGATCATTAAAACACGTATGGGATCGACAAATCAACTCCCACAAAGAAACATCTAAGGATTTTTTTTCCTATGTAATCAATTTTCAATAGCACTTATGGTAGCTGCACAGAATCTTTGGAAATACATTTTGGTTCATCTTTATTCCACATAAATTGTTTTCCTATCAATTTATAAAAAGATTGAGAAGTTAAAAGTTCCCTCATAGCAGTTAAACAATGTTCAAAGCCATGATTTCAGATGCTGTGGAATACTAAAATCTTTAAAGAGTCCCACAACAGAATCAATAGTGCTTCCTAGATCCTAGATACAGAGTGAGTGTTTCAACAATATCTTCACAGCCTTATATATGTTTTCCTAGTTAATAGCATGTGCATTTAAAACTGCATTTCAACAAATTTTCATTTAAGTTAATTTCACAGACACTATGTTAATAGTGGCCCAAGCCTTCAAAACTTCTACTTCTCAAAGCAATGTTTATCACTGGTCAAGGGACTTATTCAAAACCAATTATTTCTGCTAATTAAACTGTCCATAGTTTTTAACGTACAATTATACTTAAAATAAAAAAAAGTGAAGTGTGTACATATCTCACAATATGTTTATCACCTCAGTTATATATATATCTACTGTTGACAATGAAAATATTAGCATTGTCCTGCAATAAGCCCACACTTTGAGATCGTGGTAATTGTGTCACCTGTTCCATCGGACTTTCAATCCAAATAGCTTACATAATTATGATGATTAGATTTGGATCGATGCCATTTATATTTGCTAGCATTTAAATTGTATATCCCTTGAAACTAATTTCTGATATATGAAAAAGAATAAATTTCACAATTTTTTTTAGTTTCTTCACATCAAGCTCACTCTAAATCAAAAACAAAAGCAGAGGGTGGAAATTGAACAAGTGAAATAAAATAAACTGGATTTCTGCATAAAAAGCATTACACTGAAATCCAATCCCAGCTTTGTCCATTTCAAGGTCGTCATTTTCAGAAATAAGTAGGTGAGTGTATGACCTGAATCTTAGCCACATCGAATGCTGGAAGAAAATTTGATTTTATATTCTTATCTCCTAAATAACGACATCATTCCTTTTTTTATGTGACACATTAACGCATTGTAGGCCCATCAGGCTGAAAGAACATATAGAGAGAGGAAAGCTTTTAAGCAAATCTGTCCATCACTGACATATACAAACTCCAATCAACACAATTTCAGCATCTATCATGTAATAAGTTTAACCTGGTTTTTTTATCTTTCTCTTGTAAATCTATTTAAGCAACGATCCTGAGCACTGATTTACTTTATAATATTCACATTCCAATTCACAAAAGTCGTCTAGGAATAAAGAAGGGAAGATTTTACGATAAGAAAAATAACATATGAATTTCCATTGCATAACTTCCTCTCTAACGTTGTCTGACAATCTGGACCAGTCTTGCAATAAACAAACTGAACCTGGTCCTTTATCCGGCATCTACACGCGTAACCATCCTATAGAAGGTTATACCTATACGAATATATACAAGTCAGCTCCGAGTGTAGATATAAAATGTTTTTACGCACTGAATGGCTTTCCATAAGACATTGATTACAATGTATGTATAAAGCTTGATGGAACCCTATGCATACATATTATTTTGATGACAAAAGAGACAGTTAGATGAAGTAAAATGGTACCACCAGGATTTGTTCTACCATTATTATCCTGAAATAAGCCCAGGTTCCAGACATCTAATCTATGACTCTATAGACGAGAGGACTTAATACACACCAACATTTATTAGTATTTCTGTAAAGCTGAAACAGATATAGACGGGCTTATTACCAGACATGGATTTACTTCAGGTTAAATCTAGTGCCCAGAGAACTAGTTAAAGCTGACACTTAAGATGTTTCAGGAAAACATTTTAAGCTGTTGTTTTTGCTATAGCATGAAAACATCATGTTTTTCTTGTTTTTCTATATCTCACTATGAGTCATTAAAACTACCAAAAAATAAAATATAAATGAATTTGTCACATTCTAAGCTAATGTGCTCCATGAAACATTACTTGGGAGTATAATTTAACAAAATGAAATTTAAATAACCCCATTTATCAAATAAAGTACTTTGTAATGTCTTAAGGTGCATGCCTACGCATACAAAACTGATTGAAACACATCACATTATCACTGATTTCAATGAAATCAAGTGTGCTCTCTGCAAAAGTCTGGTAATTTAAAACTTGAATACCAAAATTTGACAGAAATAAAACATTCCTAAATGTTTGCTACTTGACATTTTGATATCAATTTAATCCTTTTCTTTTTCTTTTATCCTTAAAGCAGATGGTTTATCTGGTTATTTTTTTCACCACATTTTTTATCAGAATTTGATGTGTTATCTGCTAGTAAGAGCAACTGCTCCTTAATTTCTCAAATACAAAAACTAAAGGATAAATTCATTTGGAGATTTTCTTGATTTAAGTGATCCAGTTAATGGATGTGAAGTTGTCCAACACAGGTTTTTTAGTAAACACAATAACATCTTTACTCTCCCAAACAATTTTCACACTATCTAGCTAAAAACAATATATCAACATCAAATTTTAATTGATTAATATTTCAAACACAATTTTGACGATTTCTCTAAAAAAAGTTTTCGTCCAGTGCAGCTTTAGTACAGCTAACTTTGGCTTGTTTTATCCAATGAGAATTATAAACACAGCATTTGGCTGATAGCTACAGTTAGACAGAATGAATGGGACAACTTGATATTGGGTTCAAATTTTCTGAAATAATTGTTATATTTGATACTGGATGTTTTTTATACACAAGATGTTAAGATACAATGGCATAGTGTCCAATCACCATGGAAATGTAATCATTGTGCAAAGATCAAAAAGACCATGGCAAGAAATGTGTTTATCACCATTTTCAGAAATGTTTATATCTCAATGACAACAAATATCTACATCACCATGGCAACTGATATACAGAGTCATTGCTACGAATGTCAATATTTATATGCATACATCATTATAGCAACAGATATCTTCATCACCATGGCAACAAATGTCTTCAACACCATGGCAACAAATGTCTACATCACCATGGTAACAAATGTCCACATCACCATGGTAACAAATGTCCACATCTCCATGATAACAAATGTCCACATCATTATGGTAACAAGTGTCTACATCACCATGGTAACAAATGTCTACATCACCATGGTCACAAATGTCTACATCACCATGGTAACAAGTGTCTACATCACCATGGTAACAAATGTCTACATCACCATGCTAACAAATGTCTACATCACCATGGTAACAATTGTCTACATCACCATGGTAACAAATGTCTACATCACCATGGTCACAAATGTTTACATCACCATGGTAACAAGTGTCTACATCACCATGGTAACAAATGTCTACATCACCATGGTCACAAATGTCTACATCACCATGGTAACAAGTGTCTACATCACCATGGTAACAAATGTCTACATCACCATGGTAACAAATGTCTACATCACCATGGTCACAAATGTCTACATCACCATGGTAACAAATGTCTACATCACTATGGTAACAAATGCCTACATTACCATGCCAAACAGTATGTCTGGCCAATCAACCTACACATACATGGTAACTGATAAATATCCTACAATGTGTGTGTGGTTAGTACAATCTTCATCAAGGTAACTTTGATACCATGAGAATGGAACTTACCTTATTCTTTCTAATAATTGCCCTGCCTCAAAGCAAGCAACAAATGATTGAGTAAAGGTGATTATTAGAATAAATAGTGTATATTTTTACTTGTGGTGTAGAATTGCCTAGCTGTCATAGTAGTATATTGATGTAATGAAGGACTTCATCCCTCAAACATAATACTTAAAAACCTTTACTCTCCATAGTTTCACCTTGACCTCCAGAATTTGATATGTAAATTTTGGGGAAGAAATTCATCTAATAAACCTTTTCCAATAATGTTTTAACAACTACACCACTCCTGTATATGATGCAGTCAACTTAAAAATCCACTTTTGCTGGATTCTTTTTTTTGCAGTGAAACTTTGAATTTGCATTTTCATTCAATGGTTCAACTGCTTTTGATGACATAACGGCAGAAATGGGTTGAAATGCACTAATTAATTTCTCTTTTAGACCATTTACGAAACAAATTTAGAATTTTGAAATACCAAATGTCAGAGAGATTCTATATGTAGAAATACAAGAACCCCCATATCTTTGTATAGGCAGACAGTCTTCAAAAAATATGTCCATATCCATTTCCATCAGGGTCTCTAACTAGAAAATTAGGTTTGGATACCTCCAGGAAAAATTCCAAGGTGATGTTCATTTATAACTTAATTTGTGTCTGTTTCCTTTAAAAGTACAACAATTTTACAACAGAAAAATCTTATAACAGTTGATTCTTGGCAACATGTTATATGTTGCTGTTGACATTCCCAAGGCCTTTAAGGTGTTCCAAGTGAATACTCTAACTATGAAGAGGCTCCAGTGACGATGTTCCAACACTGAATACTACCCTAAAAAGTAGACATAATAAGCTAGCAAAATTTTGAAAATCAAAAGCAAATTTTTCACTTTTGTTTTGATTTCTCTCCCTTTCTTGTAATTTCCTGGTTATTACACTGTTAAGAAAAGAGAACGAGGGAGATAGCCCAAACGGGACAAAGAGACAGTGAGATAAGAAGATAGCCCAAACGGGACAAAGAGACAGCAAGATAAGAAGATAGCCCAAACGGGACAAAGAGACAGCGAGATAAGAAGATAGCCCAAACGGGACAAAGAGACAGCGAGATAAGAAGATAGCCCAAACGGGACAAAGAGACAGCAAGATAAGAAGATAGCCCAAACGGGACAAAGAGACAGCGAGATAAGAAGATAGCCCAAACGGGACAAAGAGACAGCGAGATAAGAAGATAGCCCAAACGGGACAAAGAGACAGCGAGATAAGAAGATAGCCCAAACGGGACAAAGAGACAGCGAGATAAGAAGATAGCCCAAACGGGACAAAGAGACAGTGAGATAAGAAGATAGCCCAAACGGGACAAAGAGACAGCGAGATAAGAAGATAGCCCAAACGGGACAAAGAGACAGCGAGATAAGAAGATAGCCCAAACGGGACAAAGAGACAGCGAGATAAGAAGATAGCCCAAACGGGACAAAGAGACAGCGAGATAAGAAGATATCCCAAACGGGACAAAGAGACTGTGAGATAAGAAGATAGCCCAAACGGGACAAAGAGACAGCGAGATAAGAAGATATCCCAAACGGGACAAAGAGACAGCGAGATAAGAAGATAGCCCAAACGGGACAAAGAGACAGCGAGATAAGAAGATAGCCCAAACGGGACAAAGAGACAGCGAGATAAGAAGATAGCCCAAACGGGACAAAGAGACAGTGAGATAAGAAGATAGCCCAAACGGGACAAAGAGACAGCGAGATAAGAAGATAGCCCAAACGGGAAAAAGAGACAGCGAGATAAGAAGATATCCCAAACGGGACAAAGAGACTGTGAGATAAGAAGATAGCCCAAACGGGACAAAGAGACAGCGAGATAAGAAGATATCCCAAACGGGAAAAAGAGACAGCGAGACAAGAAGATAGCCCAAACCGGACAAAGAGACAGCGAGATGAGAAGATAGCCCAAACGGGACAAAGAGACAGCGAGATAAGAAGAAAATAACATGTCTCTAAATTTTAATGGTCCTTCTGGTGCTTCATTAGGAAACATGTGTCTAAGATATCTACTGTCTCGTTAACTTCTCAAGTTCTCAACCCACAGAGCATCAGGTGGCACTTTTCCCTCAAACTACTTTGGAGTTGTGTAATTTGCGGCAAGCAGACAGGGATGCAATGATAGAAAATGTCACCACGATATCACAACATATAGGTATAAAAAAGACCTGTGATTTTAGAAGCACAGCTGGGGTAGCAACAATTTCTTTCAAACACTAAATTTATAAAATGTCAGATGCAAAAACTGTAGAAGTATGAATAATGCTTTCAGCATAGGTCTGCAGTGAAATTACCATCTGCAGTATATACTAATCTTATATTGTTTCTGTCAGAATTTACCAAAACAGAAAATACCACATGTACAATAATTCTCTACAGTAAATTTCAAATTTCCTCCAAAACTGTTTCTGTGATAATTTTTTTCTTTTTTAAATAAAAATTGAGAACTTTTCAGAATTTTCAAATTCTTTCATTCAACAACTTTTTTTGTAATTTTCATATTTTTTTCTTTAAAACAAAATAGGTACACATTCATAAACATTTCTGCTTTCACTTGAAAACAATAAGAAATCATTATAAAAAATTCATAAAGATTGAGACAAAATAGACAATTATGTATCACAGGGCAGAGACTGTTTTATAGCCTGAATAAAGGCCTAGGAAACAGTGATGAAATTTGTTAACATGAAGACATCTAGACAGGATTACCACAAATCAATAACCATAGCTGCAGAAAAATTCTTAAAAAATAAACGAAAAGACCTTGTCCAGAAAATCTCCTCTGGCCTTCAGTCTTTATGATGATTGATGAAGTTATTTCCTGTGAATTGGAAAAAAATGGCCAAGATGACCTCAAAATGTCTGGGATTTTTTTTATTAAGTATGTATGCTTAGTCTAAATACCAACCCTCATTACTACATTGTTTCCATCCAGCAGCGAGTCAGAAATCTTGACATGTCCAACATCTACCAGCTCTTGTAGAATCATACGAAACGTTCCAATAAGTCTGAAATAACAAAAAATTCCATAATAAGGAGGGGTGGGAGAAAAAAAGCTGCTCATATTTCTTATCTCCTGACATATAATGAAGAAAAAAATTGGTTGTACAAAATCAAATTATCTTAAAGGATTTTTTCAGTATTGGCAAAAGCACATTACAAAAACAAGCAGCCTGAGTTAGACAAAACCAGATTGATGGCTTTGTTTATTATTTACAGTAGAACAAACTTCATTCGTCTTATCTTTCAGGTCAGCAGATACAGATATCTAGAGCAGGGTTATATCTCTGAATAATTGATGTCAACATAACTGAATGAACGAGATTACTATACCGTGAACTTCATCAATCTTTATAACTATGTTTCCCATTTCTACAGCACTTAAGAGTTTCTTTCCCATAACATTCCTAGTATATTGTACCGAAATGATTACGAGCAAGATCAGAAAATAACCTGTGATTCTTCAATCATTTCCTCATTGAAAACTCATTGAAATTTTTTTACAAAAAAAAAGAGGGAGAAAGGATAGGGGGTGGGAGTTGGGGGGAATGGGGGAGAACTGCAAGGAGGAAAGGGTCTCATTTTCTGTGTAACGCTGCGACATACTAGCTGTAATATACAGCTCAGCTAGAGAGGACTTCTGTTTAGTTCAATCAATTGATTGAGCGTAAGACTAGTCAGCTAGAGGTCCCAGGTTCGAAATCTATCGGAGGCCCAATTGGCCTGCATTGCTCACCTGGCATTCAATATTCATCAAAAATAGAATCCGTGTTCATATCACAAATATAATTACATATACACCATATGCATTCAAAGTGGCACATCTAATCAATTTAAACAATTTCAACCACTAAGAGCTTCTAATACTCACCTTAAAACAGTGACAGTTAAAACCTGTATGTTAAGTAAGTGCCAGATTTTTTTTTAACAAAATTTGTTGGGCTTTCACCTAGAAACACTTTTCCACCAAACATCATGCTTTTCAGCTTTTTGGTTTACCAGAAGAAATCTTTTACAGGTTTCAAAACAATTTGATCTCTGCGACTTTCAACATGGATCAACGTCATTTCTTTTCACAAATGTAAGACATCATCCTCAGAACCTATCAATCAAATACCATATAAGTTGTTTAAAGCCCCAATATACGTAACATTCACCAAAAATTTAGTGTAGAATCACACATAATCATTGAGATATTCTCTAAGATGTAGTTAAAATTAAATTATTCAAACAATAGTTACCATGACTTTGTGCATAAAGTATTGATATATGAGCAGTTGAAACTTGCTATTTGTAAACACACCTCCATTTTAAATGCGCCGCCATCAAAATTACGATTGTTGCCGAACCACGTCGGAAATTTCATGACCTGAACTCGCGAGAGTTGAGGTTTCTACTTATAGAGGAAGCACATGCAGATATGTCTACGGTAAGTTTTTGTTTACAAACATTGTTTGCGAAGACTTGAGGTATTCCTGTGATAAACATTCAGTTTTTGGGAAATTATTAGAAGGAATAATTGGTTTAGAAACGATACGACGCACAATTATAACGTAAGATTTCAGAATTGGCCTGATGTATGATTGGAAAAAAAGGAAGCGACTGGTGGACGTCGGTACTGTGTCTGCCATGTTTACACACGTGGAATATGCGCATGCGCAATGTCATCTCTACGAGCGGTAATGTATGAATTATTGTGGGTCCCACATTGTTTATTTTCCGATTTTTTCAATTTTTATTTAAATTGAAAACAGTCAGTTTTCTTTCATTTAATTAAAGGAAAGTATCTGTTTTGTTACATATATTACGGGGAAAATCTGATAAAGTTTGTTTTTTTATAGTGATTTTTACGTATATTGGAGCTTTAAAGGTATTAATAAATTTTACCCCTGTGACCCCATGTTTCTGCACCTTTTGGTTAGTCAAAAAAGTTGTTTAAAGGTATTAACAAATTTTACCCCTGTGACCCCATGTTTCTGCACCTTTTGGTTAGTCAAAAGAAGTTGTTTAAAGGTATTAACAAATTTTACCCCTGTGACCCAATTTTTCTGCACCTTTTGGTTAGTCAAAAGAAGTTGTTTTGACGTTTAACCAAATCTGACCCCTGTGAACTTGAACAAGGATCAAGGTCATTTCTGTTTTCAAAATTTGTTGGGATTCATCAAAGAAATCCATCCGCCAAATATCTCACTTTTGCATTGACTGGTTTGAAGAAGTCATTTCAAGGTTTCAACAAATTTGGCAATTGCGACCTTGAATAAGAGTCAAGGTTATTTTTTTTTTTTTTGGCAAATATTGTCGGGCTTTATCTTAGAAACCTATCATCCAAACACTATGCTTCTGCACCTTTCCGAAATTCCAAAGAAGTTGTGTAAAAAGTTTAATAAATATGACCCCTGTGACCTTGAACATAGGTCAAAGTCATTGTGTTCTCCCAAGCTTTGTTGGGCTTCATCCTTAAAAATACCAGCCAAACACCATGCCTCCAGGCTTCTTAGTTCATGACAAGAAGTCCTTTATATGTTTTAACAAATCTGATCCCTGTGACCTTGCATATAGGTCACGACCTATTCTTTTCACAAACGTTGTTGGGCTTCATCCTAGAAACATACCAGCCAAATATAAAAAAATTGGTCAACAGGTTATTGACAAGAAGTTATTTAAAGGAAATAGTTGACGTCGGAGAATGGACTCCAGATGCCACACCACAACATATGCTTACTTGACCCTTAGGTCCAGGTTTGCTAAAAACTCCAAGAACTTCAAATTCAGCCACTTCAATAACTTTACATATCATTAAATAAGTATGTTTTCATTGTAATGCAAGGAAGGATATTTCAGAAGTCACCAAAGTTTGCCCTTGCACTCATAGACTTTGCAAGGCCAAAATGCATGAACAGTATGAAATTTGGTCAAATTTACCTTATTATTTATTGCAGGACAATACAATTGCATTTGTTTGTAATTCTAGATATGGTTGGGCTTATAACATGATAAACACAAGGCTGAATTTTGACTGTTGATATGTTCTGGGTCACATTCCTCACCAAAATTCTGCTGTTAACCAGGTTTGCACTCAATGAACTTTTTGCCTTATTGATTTTTCTACAATTAATGAAATTTTTTATTTTCATTGACCAACTTTTAAAAAGTCAATGAATCAAGTGCTAGGCACTGCATTTTTCTTTCTCTGAAGTCTTAACGAAAATTAATTGCAGCTATTTCCACCATGAATGAAACAGTGATTGATTGAAATGACTTTGATGAAGCATCCCACCATTCATATCAGCTTTAAAAACCTTGGCAAATTTATTTGACTTGTCTTCACTAAAAAGCAAACAACACAAAAATTTGAAGAAATTATCTGTTCATTGCTACACAACAATATGTTTAAATTGCTTTAGAAAAGTCAAGTGTACATGCTTTGAATCTTTTGAGTACAAGTAAAAATCAGAAAATCCCTTTTTCTATCAAATTCAAAACCGTGAAAAACAATTTTTGGCAGCAGTTAACCATGTGTGCTGTTAAATGGAGAGAGAGTCAACTTTGTTTAAACATCAATTAATAATTCATTGATTCAATCATTGCTAAATAAAAATCAATCACTTGGAGATATTAATTGTTACTTTGTAATGTCAGAATATATATTATAAGAAAAAAAAAATTAATTATCTTTTTCTTTCAAACAATACACTTGTCTGCATACACCACAATATGTCGTATCAATATTGAAATGCAGTGAGAATTCAGCTTTGTTCTTCTGAATGTTGATCTAGATGCTGACACGGAGACGGCTTTCTGATGATTAATTCACTGTGAGCATCTGAAAGTTTTAAGTAGTCAATTCTCCACACACTGGTAATTACATATACCTGTAGGTGATGTTATCAATAACCTATCCTAACATGTGACAAGTTTATGGAAAATACTTGTTGTCGATATTTATTTTAAATGGAATTGTAAAATGATTCTATTGTATAACCCTGTCTTCTGGCAATCAATTGATTTAGGAAATGCTGATTTTTCTTTCTTTTTAATGAATTTTTTTTTGTTTTCTGGTTTTTTTTTTCCTTCCAACAAAACATGAAAATAATTCACAATCTATATTTCAGATTACTTTAGAATCAATATTAAACAATTTCTTTTAGAATTAAATTTCTGTGGCCTTTTTCCTTCAATGGAAGTCTCCTTTTTACCAGTTACACAGGAGCTGATCTAGTGGTAAGTCTGGTTTGTACAGGTGTCCAGATTACACAGGGTCTGATCTGGTAGTAAGTCTGGTTTATATAGTCTGGTTTGTACAGGTGTCTATATTACACAGGGTCTGATCTAGTGGTAAGTCTGGTTATATAGGTGTCAAGATTACACAAAGTCTGTTCTAGTGGTAAGTCTGGTTTGTACAGGTGTCTATATTACACAGGGTCTGATCTAGTGGTAAGTCTGGTTATATAGGTGTCAAGATTACACAAAGTCTGTTCTAGTGGTAAGTCTGGTTTGTACAGGTGTCTATATTACACAGGGTCTGATCTAGTGGTAAGTCTGGTTATATAGGTGTCAATATTACACAAAGTCTGTTCTAGTGGTAAGTCTGGTTTGTATAGGTGTCTATATTACACAGGGTCTGATATAATGGGAAGGATGGTTTATATAGGTGTCCAGATTACACAGAGTCTGATTTAGTGATAAATCTGGTTTACATAGTGTCTAGATTACACAGCTTCTGATCTAGTGGTAAATCTGGTTTACATAGGTGTCTAGATTACACAGGTTCTGATCTGGAGGTAAGTCTGGTTTACATAGTGTCTAGATTACACAGCTTCTGATCTAGTGGTAAATCTGGTTTACATAGGTGTCTAGATTACACAGGTTCTGATCTGGAGGTAAGTCTGGTTTACATAGTGTCTAGATTACACAGCTTCTGATCTAGTGGTAAATCTGGTTTACATAGGTGTCTAGATTACACAGGGTCTGATCTGGAGGTAAGTCTGGTTTATATAGGTGTCCAGATTACATAGGGCCTGATCTAGTGGTAAGTCTTGTTATATAGGTGTCAAGATTACACAAAGTCTGTTCTAGTGGTAAATCTGGTTTACATAGCTGTCTAGATTACACAGGTTCTGATATAATGGGAAGTATGGTTTATATAGGTGTCCTGATTACACAGGGTCTGATCAAGCTGGATTTGTTAAAATATTTGTGGAAGGATTCACTGGTAACAGTACCTGTTACTGAGATATTTGTTGTAGTTGAAGACCTGGATGTCAATGATTTCTTCTTTTTCCACGGGACGTGCCACGGGCCATTCAAATGACTGAAACAAAAATTGACATCAACTTTGAAATAGTGAAGAAAATTCGAGCTCTAGAAAAAAAATCACATCTGAAATTTTACATTTGAGAAAAAAACGAAACAAAAAAATATTGAAGGAAATCTATTAAGTCCTTTTTTGAAATGAACGAATGTCAGTATTATTATCTAAAAGGAATAAAATTCAATATCTTCTTGGCATTATTGACAGACAACAGAGAAAAGTTAAGAGATCTGCATTGTATCCGCAGAAACACTGGCAGTGTCAACTGAGTTGCATAATCACCTGAAAGAGCACTGCACGCAGTGCTCATTCGAGCATGTGACGTTCGACAGAGAAATAACACAGGAAGTAAGTGAAACATGCATTTGACACTTGAAAAATTGGAACTCTTTTGTACAGAAGGAAATCAATTATAGCTTGTCTTACAGGCATCTTCTGTGAAGTCAACCTCGTATAGATATTTATTAAGGCGCTGTTCTGTATGTTCTTAGCGTCATGAAATAAATCCATTTAGATTCAACGTTCTTCAGCGTGATAATTCAGAGCTCTACCAACTGAGTCAGAGAAACGTGGTCCATCAGAGTACATATTCAACTCTGTAATCATTTACACTACATACTGCTTTGCTTCTTTTACATTAGCACCAGTACATGAGGTTTCATGAAAAAACCACTAAGCCATTGTCGCAAGAAGAAAATGCAAATGAATTACTTGCACCTTAACACCCTCAGTCAACATGCAGATAAGTACGAATAATCAAATGACCTATTAAACTCAGTTTGATGAAGAATTTGCATGTCAAGTATATTTTTTAAAAAATACGTCATTGAAGTGGTAATCACCTTCAGGGCATAATTTCGAAATGTTTAAAATTTAATTCTTGAAAATATAATTCAATACCTCTAGCAAGTATTGAAATATGCAAATAAGAAGCATGTTAATTACATAACTTCTTCCAAGTCCAAAATAAAATGCTTCAGGGGAAAACATGCACATTCATATTTCATTTCTGTCTTCCTTCTTTCTTAATGATTGCTCAAACTTTGAATTATCCCTCAAAACGTCATGCCATTCATCAATAATAAGTCTTGTAAAATTCCAGATCCTAGGAAAAGCCCCCTGTCCATAACAAATACCCGCCTATAAAGGTCACCTGTTTATGATATATAAAAACAAATATTTACATTTACACGCCTCAATGAAACTAGTAATGTCACTTCGTTGCATTTCCCAATGAAAGAAGTGGGCCGCCTGCTTTTTTTCTGAGCAGCGAATCACTTTCTGTCGGTGTAGGAATACATTGTTTACTCAAATCACACCTCGTAATATAGTTAACACTGCGAGGTAAAAATAATATTTCTGAATATGTTAGCTATTTTAATTATAAAAACCATTATTAATATTTGTTATGAATGACCATTTCATGTTGGATATGTATATATTTAAGTGTATAAACATGAAACAAATAAAAACTTCTAAGAACTATTTTTTTTTTTGTTGTCTTGACAACGAGAGCAGCTTGATGACTGCTGTCCCACCTTTGTACACACATGTAGGATAAGTACAACAATGTAGCAAACTATCACTGTCATGTAGTGCAGTGTCCGTAGAAGGCGTAATGTTTCAGCGGGAATTTTAAAATAGTAAATGTAAATATAAGGATTGATTGTCTATTTTGTTGCTTGCATGGACTGATGAAGGGAAGTGAACCTCGTGCAAATGAAGTGAACTGCGAAGCATCAGTCCATGCAAGCAACAAAATAGACAATCAAACCTTAAATAATTGACTACAAAGGCCACACTTACAAAACAAATACCTGTTTATGAAGGCCAACTATACAGAAACTTTAAAGGTCATTTGTATAAAAGAAATAACTGTCTATATGATCACCTATACATAGCGTGAAAACTGCTTAATATCATGTTCCAAATAGAGTGAAAACTGCTTAATATCATGTTCCAAATACTGAAAACTGCTTAATATCATGTTCCAAATAGAGTGAAAACTGCTTAATATCATTTCCAAATCACCAGATTAAGACATCAACATTTGACAAGTTTTCTTTTTCAACCTCTAAACCCATAACTGATCTTTCTGAGTTGTTGCTTAAATAGATTGTTTGAAAAACCAAAAAAAGTCATTTGCTGTGTTTTTCCAATAAGCTAAGTGATTTTTCTTTGAAATATGCAATTATCTCACACATCATCAGCTGATACTTTGCTGTATAACTTATTCACCCATTACAGTGTAGGCTCCATAGTAAGGCATCATGGTACAGGTTAGAGAACTTTTTTATGGTCACCTTAATGGTGCTCAACAAAAGCAACAACTCATTTCAAAATGTTGATATTCTAATATTTTGACAAAACAGATTTTTTATCTTCATTCCATACAATACCTTATGAATTCTGAACAAATCATTTGGGGAAAATAATCATAAAACCAGAAATGAAGGGATATAAAGTGTTGCCAACATGAAAATAAATGTTATCATTAGATGCCAGATTACATAGAATATACAAAGGAAACATGATATTAACCAGACAGTGACATTAACTGATGTGACATTAAGTGGTTTCCACTGTATTTGGATAAAGGCCACCTATACATAAAAGTTACCTAGATATTTTGTATACAACAAATGGAGATGTAAAACAACAATGAACTTCTATATAAGGATCACCAGTCTAACTAAGCCTCTTTTCTGTGCTCCAGTGAAACTAGCCTTCAAAGACAAGTTTGAACGGATTTTAAAAGAAATTACTTACATGTATCAGGGAAATTGTAAATACCTGATCAACATCTTTATCAACAATTTTGCACTTCAATTCATTTGCATATGCCAGGTGTACTTTATATTTGGCTTTCTAAATATGAACATTCCTTCATAACAATTTTGGAGAAAATGGAAAAACAAGAGATCCCAGAGGGATCTTGGTGCCCACCATTGTTTGATCTTTGTTTACTCTTTCTTTTCTCTTCTCTGTTTTGGCTCTTAATGATAAGACATTTGAACATTTTTTTGCAGATATTGCTATGAAAAATCTTTATTTGCCAAATCCAAAATGGTCATCTGGAATCCATTTTGTTTCTTCTGATCAGTCCCTAAATCAAATGGACACAAGGAGAGACCAAAGGAAACATATGCATGAAATTTGAGAGAGGTCCATTCAGTACTGCTTAAGAAATAGCAATAACAATCTTTAATAGGCGAAATGCAAGATGGCTGCCTGAAAGCCTTTTTTTCTTGGTCCTTGCCGAAATCAAACAGGTACAACTAGGGATTGGGGGAAACTTATACATGAAATTTGAGCAAGATCTATGCAGAATTTATTAACAAATAGTGATAACTAACTTTCAAAATCAAAATCCAAGATGGCCGCCTATGAGCCATTTTGTTTTTCTGATCAGCCCTAAAATCAAACAGGCACAACTAGAGACCAAGGAAAACCTACATATGAAATTTGAGAAAGATCCATCTCATACTTCTCGATTTATAGCCATAACAAAAATTGTTTACGGACGATTAGACAGATGGACTGATGGACCCTGGACCACAGTCATAGGGCGATTTGACTAATTCACCATCAGATAATGGTGGGCTAGAAGATATAAACGTCAAAAGCATTGTTTTTTATAAACAACATTTGTTTTCTTTGAATGACATTAACCAAACACTTCTAGTTGCTTTCTATTCCCTCCTTCAATGTCAAAAAGTGCATTCATAAAACATTTACACGCTTTCGATTCATGTTGACACTGCATGAGAGATATGGGAGGCAGAAGAAGAGAAATGAACATGCAATGCATGACATAATTGAATTTCATGAAAAATCAATAACGCAAAAAAATGTGTTAGTTATTTTTCCAAACACACCGAGAGCCAACTCTGAACATAATATTGTCTATACTTGCACTTCACAAATTTCTTTCATTAAAAAATAATATGTTTTAACCTGAAAAGTGATCAAATATTCCATACTACAAAAAGCAAGGCAAAGAAAGGAAGTTACAGCAAATATGGGCAAATTTTTCTAGAGCTTTCTCAGAATATATAAAAGGAAAGCATTATTTTTTGTATCATCACAATCTTTTTATTGTCCATAAAAGCTGACAGAATCTCTATTTAACAGCCAATCATCTGTGCTATTGGAAAGTTTATGTCATGATATCTGGCAAAGCCTTAATCTAATTTCATAAATTGTGAGTGTATAAAAAACTGAGGATATTGAATTATAAACCTCTGTCATTAAAGTGACAAATCAGTACTTCATAAACATTGCTTCATGTTGAAAATGGTATATCGTTACATTGAACAAAATTACTGCACCTGCTGCAGTTTATATGCATTTGTGATACCGGATCAAGATCTTGGTGCCCTTACTGACAAAAAAAATCATTTTCATGCAAGGTTGATCTATTCAATTATTTTTTTGCGTATTTCTAATGCACTGATGATAATTAGAAAAGTAAATGAATTTAACGATGGAGTTTGATCAAATCTTCATAATGAAGTTGACCTTGACCTTTCAGAGTGCCGTTGTTTAACTGATGTTTAGACCAGTACTTAAAATAACTTCATACTGAGAGGTGTTTGGTTTCTGACCACCCTCTTTTTCACATTTTTACAAATGACAAAGCAGCTTAAATTTCAAAGCGAAAAAATACTATGTAGGACATTCTAAAACTCACAGAAAATTTAAAATAACAAAGATTACCCCCAGGGGTAATCCAGATGGAATTTAGATTTGTAAAATTTTGATAAACCACCTTTTGACCTTTCCATACTTGAAAAGTTTTTGATGCCACATAACTCTGTTTGAGGAAAAAGATTTTTCAAAAGTAAGCAAAATCAGATGTGGTTTTCCAGCAGAAGTAGGAAATGTGGAAATGTCAACAGATGAACAAGGTCCTGGAGCTTAGGGCAGGTGATCGAAAAAATTGCAATAATTAATAATTATGATAAATACTTCAACTGTAATTAAAATTAAAAGATTTCACCTCATACCTTCTTTATATCATCATAAAATTAAACCTGCAATTCTAGGGACAAAGAAGATTGTATCTTACATTTTTCAAGACAACAGAGGAAAGGAGATCGGAAAAGTCCATCATCTGATGATGCCTAAATAGAGAATTTGTCAGTTTTCTTTTTCTTTTTTCCTGGCCTTGACACAGTAAGCGAGTATACTGATCCATGAAAAATTTCTCAAGAGGGTTTAAGTATTTACTGCGGTGAAACCAGTTTGAAAAGATCAATATCATACATAGAATTGTTTCTTTCAAGTTTAACATTTATAGGAGATAGAAGCTGCCCCTTGTCACAAACGCTCATTCATCAATGGAGCACAGATCAAAATGAGGAAATTCTGTTGCCTTGAAATTCCCCAAATATCTCTTTCTATTTAATTTCCCATTTCGACAAAAATCAACACTCTATGTGATGTTATAGATATCATATTTTGACATAGGTGGTGTCCATAAAATAGCTGGTGGCTACCTTGCTGAACAACATACAGGAGGCTTGTCACATGCCATCCAAAGCAATTTGGTTTTGATAGGACACAATCATTATGTCAGCACACACCAGTCCTTTTGTTAGCTTTAGAGAAACACACTGCCACAGGCAGGGAGTGTGGTACAGATTTCACTGAATTAGTACAGGCCTACAGTCTAACTGACTGAGCTGTCATGGCCTCTACCTTACATCATCAGGTTTACATACTAATAAATCTGTGTTAATTGTTTACAGGCTAACTGATATATGACGGTAGAGGACACACAAAGCTGGTTTATATAGCTACTTAATATTAACAGTTTTTAATCTGTCATGCACTGAGCAAGCTTCCATTAAAAATTGATTGAAATTCGTGCCATAGTTTTAGGGATAATATGAATGGCGATTCAGGCAATTTACGTGATCATATTATACAACAATATGGATTTTTTTTTTATTTACAAACACCTGACTTTTGATACTCCTGTTCTGAAAATTTCACAAGTAACCACTGAAATATTGGTTGAATTCTGCTCAGTCATTTTGAGGAGATATTTTCAACAGACAAAACACAATAGGCTAGGATAATTTATACTATGTGGGGTCAAGGTCCCTTGTGACCAATACTGGTAGTAAACATGGATACCACAGACCCCATGATGTGGCAGGGACAGGTAAACATGGATACCACAGACCCCATGATGTGACAGGGACAGGTAAACATGGATACCACAGACCCCATGATGTTGCAGGGACAGGAAAACATGGATTACCACAGACCCCATGATGTGGCAGGGACAGGTAAACATGGATACCACAGACCCCATGATGTGACAGGGACAGGTAAACATGGATACCACAGACCCCATGATGTGACAGGGACAGGTAAACATGGATTACCACAGACCCGATGAATTGGCAGGGACAGGTAAACATGGAAACCACAGATCCCATGATGTGGCAGGGACTGGTAATCATGGATACAGCAGATCCCAGACCCCATGATGTGACAGGGACAGGTAAACATGAATACCACAGACCCCATGATGTTGCAGGGACAGGAAAACATGGATACCACAGACCCCATGATGTTGCAGGGACAGTTAAACATGGATACCACAGACCCCATGATGTGGCAGGGACAGGTAAACATGGATACCACAGACCCCATGATGTGGCAGGGACTGGTAAACATGGATACCACAGACCCCATGATGTGACAGGGACAGGTAAACATGGATACAACAGACCCCATGATGTGGCAGGGACAGGTAAACATGGATACAACAGACCCCATGATGTGGCAGGGACAGGTAAACATGGATACCACAGACCTCATGATGTGACAGGGACAGGTAAACATGAATACCACAGATCCCATGATGTGACAGGGACAGGTAAACATGGATACCACAGACCCCATGATGTGGCAGGGACAGGTAAACATGGATATCACAGACCCCATGATGTGAAAGGGACAGGTAAACATGGATACCACAGACCTCATGATGTGACAGGGACAGGTAAACATGGATACCATAGACCCCATGATGTGACAGGGATTGGTAAACATGGATACCACAGATCCCAGACCCCATGATGTGACAGGGACAGTTAAACATGGATACCACAGACCCCATGATGTGGCAAGGACAGGTAAACATGGATACTCCCGGAACTTCTGTTGTACCCTGCCCACCAGATTACAAATCTGGGACTGGAGAGACGAAGGTTGGCAGCTGGTTGTTCAGGGAAGTGGCAAATAGGTCTATAAGAGGTCTGTCCCATACCTGACAAATTCCCTTGAAAATCAAGGGACACAGCTGCCATTCAGTAAACTCTGTCTGGCAGTGCCTGGAGAGAGTGTCCGCCTACACATTCAGCCTGCCAGGAAGATGCTTGACAGCTATGGTCAACTGCATGTTCTGGCAGAGAAGAAGGATGCGGATGGTGACACATAGGACGTGAGACCTGGTGCCCCCCTGCCTCTCCAGATATTGACAACTGTAGAGTTGTCAGTAGCCATACATATCACTTTGGGCTCCAGGATAGCTCGAAAGGACTGCAGAGTCAAAAGAACAGCCCTCATCTCGAGTACATTGATGTGCTCCGAGAGCTGTTTGCCAGACCACTCCCCTGATGGGCATAGACCGTCAAGATAAGCTCCCCATCCTGTCATGAACGCATCCATGAACAGGGTCATAGAGGGGAAAGGCTTGGTCAAAGGCACCCAGTGGAGAATGTTCTCTTGAAACATCCACCAGCGAGCGAACTCCTTGAGCAACTGGGTAAGAGGAATCCAGACCTATATTCTGGATGACGTAACCCATTTGGACAGGAGGAATATCATGAGAGGTCTGATGTGAAGCCTCCCTAGGGGGACCACATCTGCCAGGGAGTTGAGATACCCCAGAAAACTGAGGAACCAATGCACCTGGACATGCCAGCAAGCGATGAAGGTCAGAGCCAGAGCCTTGGCCTTCTTGAATTTCTCCAAAGGAATTGGAAAACCTTGCCGTTGCACGTGAAATGGAGGAACTTCCATGCCGACTTCTTGGTGGGGATATGGAAGTAGGCATCCTTCAGATCTACTGAAGTTGCCCACATTCCGTCCCTCACAGAGGCCATAATGCCCCCTCGGGTCTCCATCTTGATGTAAGGAGAATCTATGTGTCTGTTGAAGGCACTGAGATCTATGATCAGACATCACGCAGTCGACTTATTCCGAACCAGAAACATTCTAGAGTAGAAGCCAGGAGTGCATTCTGACATAGGAACCTCATCTACCGCACCCTTGACAAGCATGGTCCCTACTTCCTCCTGGAGTGCCCGACCTTTTCCGCATCCCCCGGAGGATGAAAGAAAATTGGCTGGGCGGCGAGGGGTGGATCCCGAAGAAGGGGGATACCTAAACCCTCCCTGACCACCAACATAGTCCAAGCATCTTCCGTGATCTCCTGCCAGTGCGGAAGAAAAGCTGAAAGATGCCTCCCAACAGGAAGACCCTGCCAGACCAGCGTCTGTCCACCTGGAGACAGGGACAAGAGCTTGAAACAGAAAGACCGCCATCTGCCCAACCTGGCTCTTGGTCTGCCATGGCCAAGGAGCTGAAGGAGTCAGGAACCCTTCTTCTTGCCCCCAGGAGGGTTCTTACCCTTCCCCTTGTTGTCCTTGAAGCGAGCTTGGACTTGGGCTGCGCAAAAGACTGAGCCCCTGCGAGGCGCTGGCTTTCTCAGCCTGAAACCTCTTCACAAGAATTGCTGAGGCAACTGAGTCCTCCTTCATGTCCTTCTGTACATGATATGGCCTAATCTCATTGATAACACTATAGCAGCATTAATAATTAATCCATTGACCAATCAGCATTAATTAACCAAAGATCATTCAATACCATGATCCAATTTATGGGAAGTGGTTAACTGTCTCATTTAAAAAGAAACAATACAACAGAAATGATTTCAGCAAAACAGTGATCTACAAACATCATATGATCAAAACAAAAAAAATATCTAAATAAGCCCCTCCCACTCCTCTCATTGAGAAAGATTGATTGATCTTTACCTCATCAAACCAGATGCTGTCCTCTGCATTCTCAATAATTTTTGAGTAGTGGCACACACCTGAAACAACAAAAAAAGAGCAGCGTCAGCAAAAATGTCCAATCTAATAAAACTGAGTTTTAAATTTGAAATTAAAACAAATCATATTAAACCTTGCAAATAATGTTTCTACTGATATGGATGCATTTCAAGATGTTTGTAGTTGATTTAATTTTGAGGAATTGAGAAATTTATTCATTGAGGTATATCTACAAGCCTAGAAGACAAATTCTGATATACACCAATAACATTGATAACCAATGAAAAACCTGAGGAGAAAGATATTCAGTTGTCAATAGCAACCAGTTTCTGTGAAGTATAATATTTTTCTTCTGTCTTTGTTATCATTGACACAATTCTCTCATTGAAGATATGAAAATAACATTGATAATTTAAGTCTGAGGATATATATCTATTTTGAAGTGAAATCAACAATTCTTACAAGTTAATTAGAAGAACTTTGGCACATTTAACTACCTTGAAACTGTTAACCGAAGAAGTTGAATTAAATGATTCACCAAATAGAGATAAAAAATTCATTGCTAATTAACAGATTGTATTACGACAATGATAATCAATTTTAATGACATTCAACTACAATGATTTTATAGATAGATATATATCATATATTAAATGAAGACCTCTCATCTAACCAGAAAACATATAATAAATACCATATTTGAAAATGCAAAAAAACAAAATGAAGTAAAACTTCCAGTTCTCTGAAGAAAAATTGCCAAGAAAAATAATGTAGATTTGTATCACTGTTGTACTTTTATATCGGCACAAACAATCAAACCAATACACAAACAAAAACTGTTTATGTAGAGTAAGCTCCCTTGATGAACTATATTTTTTTTTTTTTTGGTGTTATAGTGAATGACCTTGCTCAATAACAAACTACATCACTGTGTGGGCACAGTAATTATGCATGAGAAGAGAAAATTGATATTTTGCTTTTCATGGAAATGAACAATGGTTGAGTATCAAAATAACAGCCACCGGATTCTCCATCAACAGAATCAGACAATATTGATGGTGCTTTTATATCCCAACAAGTTTACTTGTTTAAATGCTGACTGTTCTTTTTCCAATGTCACAAACATAACTGCTATCTTTTTTCCTACCAAACAAACTTTGACAAAAACATTAATAAATTATTGATGTTCAAACCACAAGGGATGATTGTATTGTAATCAACAATGATATAAGACATTTTTGACATTGAAGATTATTGTAGATGAAAAAAGGTCACATGGGACAAACACAATGTCACAGCAAACTTCATTTTGTGTTGACAGGAAATCATTGCCAACAATATGACATTTGGGATATAAGGTCATGAAAATCATATATCTATATGTCCTTTTACCCTTGCTGCCATAGTAAAGAAAGGTTCATGGAAGATTATAATAGATATAAGACACAGCTGAACTGAGAAAGAGATGTCACTTTCTACCTTCTGCATTTATCCCTCAACAAGTCCATGTCTGGTAATAAGCCCACCTGAATACATTGCTGTTCCAGGAATAAAAACTAATGCTATATCATTGTCCTGTAGTAATCCTGATTCACTTGAATTTGTGTCCAAGGTACTGATATCCTGATATTTTTCCTCCAGATAATTTTTGACCTTTACCATTATACACAAATTTGTCTATTATTCATTTCACTCTATAAGGATTATATAGATGGGTAATATAACCATTTCTTGCCAATATTTTAAATTTGTATTCCCTGTCATGGACAAAGAGGGCAAAAATTAAACAGAGGCCAAAATGTTCCCAGTATACAGTAATGTCATGAAGACGCATATACTATGTCATACAGTCCTATAATAATTTTCATGGTTTTTAAAGGATGACAAGATCCTGAGAATAACAGGTTAATGGCTGCAAAAAGATGGGAAGATAGAATGCCAATGTAATAGTAGACAAAAGGTCATCAAGAGTTCAAGGTCATTAAAGGTCCAAGGTCATAATGATATTGCAATGTCATTGAAAAAGAAAATTGGTGAAGGCTACACATGGAGTCATGATGAAATCAAGGAAAAGATATCATACCATTTCTGGAAAAGTTGAGGTTGTGACATAAAGTTATAGAAACCAAAAGGTCAAGAAGAGTACAAGGTCATTAAGTGAACAAGGTTGTGAGGAACAGTAAGTCATGTCTGTCACAATGTCATGACAGCTTGTTCGGTGATAATGACATGTTTGCATGGTCACTAATGGATTTCCAGGGTCTCTACTTAGGAAGTAATTAGAAAACCGTCAACCAATCAAGACCCTGCCCTAGGCTGCATATACACGATACCTTAACACATACAAAAACCTCTTTTCTGGCAATTCTCACTGCATGCAATCGATAGTGTTGATGTCAGCCCATATCCGCTGTTTACAGACTTCCGACAAGGATTAAGATATTTCTGATAAAAAATTTATATTGAAATTCCAATCTTAACGTTCCAGTTAATGGGATTTGTATGTTTCCTGACAAAATATAAAAAAAAAAGAAAAATTGTTAGAATATTTGTATATAAGGTAAGTGTGGCATATTTTTCGATAGCATGTTCCCACAAAGCAGGTCATCAACTATCTATTGAATTAAGCACAGACATTTTTCCCTAAGGGACCACATGTTTCATCTTGTTGATAAAACTGAGAACGAGAACGGCGAACGATGACACTCTCAAGAGCCGTGTCTACACGTCAGCCTGCCTTCGCATTTATCTATTTATTGGTTTGAACTTTGTGAAACAGCATAACGTCCACAATTACATATACAGTCAGATCTCAACACACACAGACACTGTGAATTTCACTCATGTAAAAAGCGAAAAAAGCCAGTTAAAAGTGGATAATATCAAAAAGATGGCCTGTTGGGTGAATGACTGGCTTCTAAGGCCATTCAGACTTCTCTCAGTGTGTATCTTAGTTATCATGGAGTGGGATTTTCACAGGATTATGCAATAATGTTTGTTTTGTTGTGAATTCCACAAAAAAAAAAAAGGTTTATACGTCAGCTTAAAACAATGCACCGACTTATTGCTGTATTTATCCAGCAATAAGCCTGTGCTTAGTAATAAGCCCATCCCCTCCTTTGAACTCATTCCCTGTAGTGATTACTGAGACAGACCCACAAATCCTTTCAAAGATCTCATCTATGAAGAATGTTGAGTCCTGAAAGATTTTTGTTAGAACGACCATGTAAGGCGTAACATTTACTTTTTGCAATTTGAAAATAATATTGTCAAATTTTGTTATATGTGTAACACGTTTCCTGTTAAACAACACACATTTCAATGAATATTTAACGTTAGACACAGAATATATATTTTGAGGACTGCTCAGAGTTCCAAGTGAAAATATTAGCACAATACCAAAAATCCGCTGAGAACTCATGATACATGAAAATGTTGGTTCACCTTTCTCCAAGATAATGAGCCTAGAACCTAGATATCATACAAGCTATCATTTAGTAGTAGGTGTAGTTAACCAGTATAGGTGTGTGTACCTTATCTATAGACAATGTCAATAGCCATTGTTAACACTGTGTGTCTAACATAGCAGTTGATCTACTTGATTTTGGTTATATAATAAAAATATTTCTACTGTAGCAACAAAAAGTCATTGCTTTCAATCTAACCATATTCAACCTGTGTTATTTATATCAGTAGAGTAAATCTTCACTTACCCCCACCCTAAAAAAAAATATTCTATGATTTTTTTTTAACAAGTCATCCAATTTGCTGCAAAGTATTTGTGTATAATACCAATTTAAAGTATTAGAAATTTGATACTGATCTACAGTAAGCATAATGATTTATCAACAGTTTAAAATTGTTTATTTACAATATAGTAATACAACGTTTTGTAGAATCATACATCAGGTTAACAGGTCAAAGACAAGTCCATGTTTTATTGTCACTCGACCAATTTTCCTGACAAAACACAAGAAGCCTGACAACAAAAGAAAATAAACATTTATTTGCTGTCAAAACAGATTCACCATAAAACGATTTATGCAAGTAAAAAGGATCAAATTATGACCCAAATTTCCTGTTATTTTCCAACATATAGCCAAGACAGCAAAATTGTATGACCATTCAATACGAGATGGTATGACCTCATTTATCTTCACTGTAATAAACAGCTACTATGATAGTTGTATTCTATTCAAGCACTCTTGAGAGTCAGATCAGACTATGATACTGGATTCGCTTCGAGTTACATTCAAGGCTGACTTTGATCCTAATTCCCCAAAAGGCAAGTCTCTCTTCATAGAGGAATCTATGAAAGAGAGGATATAGCGAATTATTACATTGATCTAATTCTTTTGTGTCGTTGAAATTTACCAGACATCTTAGAAATAAATCTATCTGCCAGTATGATATTACTGTATTAACTACATCAGTTAGTTACAGACATTCATTTCCCGTAACCAATGGTTACAACAAAATGTTACCATATTTACCCATCAATAAGCCCTTGTCTGGTTAAAATCATTGAAAATCTTATCCACTATATCGCTTGATGTTCATTGTATCATTACTACATAAGTCCACCCCTGTGACTTTTAGTCTGTGGTACTGAAATATCCACCTGGGCTTATTACTGGACAAGTCTGTATGTATTCTCCATCTATATCTGACCGTATTTCCTTTACAATGTAAGGTAGTGTCCAAAATAAACATTACAAAGGAAAATAACACTTACGACAATTAGCAAGATGAAACCTTGCGATCAGCGGACATTTTGATGAGGAATACAAGGAAAATGATGAAGTAATATTCTCATAAAACCTTAGTTTTCCTCAGTTTTCAACTTTCAAATAATTTGGATTAAAACAGACAATATTTCTTGAAATAATAATTTTTCCATTTTTCACTAAAACCATTTTAGGACTGAAACCATCATCTTCCACCTACAAACACGGAAATTGCTCAAACACCTGAACTAATGCAATATTGATATAAAATACAACGGCAGTGAAACAAATACAACATAATCATCAGTCACCTC